TGCTTAATGCATTTTGATTTTGCAACTGCAAAACAGCAGAGCCAGAAGTTCGTGATCTGTGGCAATCGCTTGACATTTACAAGGCGGCTGGCTTTTGTTTTTAATTAGACGACTTGGAGTCGGATTTGGAGTCGGAGTAGGAGTCGAACTCTGGCTACTGGGTGGTCGTGGTCTCTGCTCTGTGGCTGATTATCGACGCGAGGGCTTAGATCTTTGCCGTCGATTAAGCTGCTTAATGCCATTAACATGATTAAGAGCCCCAGCCACATTGGCAGTCCCACTTCGTGGCCACTCGGCATGATGTCTCCACATCTGTAGTTGCGTGGAAAACCCATTGAGTGGGCAAATTATGAACGATTCCGTCCATTCACAACTTACAGCACAGGAGTTCCGATCGACTAATTGAGCAATTGAACTCTGATCGCAGTCTCTGGAGGAATTGTGTTTTTAATTCATAATCAAATGATGGAATACGGAACTGCCGGAGGGCACTAATCTCCTTGCTTTCGGTTAGTTTTGAACTATCCCGTTTGGCGGGCTCTTTATAGGGGTGAGTGCTTTCGGGTCGGTCGGTGTCAAAGGTCAAAATGGACGAAAACTTCTCATGGGTCAGCTGGGTGCTTAAAAATAAATCAGGAACCAACTCGATTTCGGACATGAAAAAAAACGAGTTTTACTACCAATTTCTGTTTCGTTTTTTGTACTTATTTTCTAACCGTGACCTTTGAACTAAGCCCAAAAATCCAGAACGGGCCAATATTACCAGTCCATGCTAGAACATTTCGAATGCATGGAAATGCTGTCTGTGGGAAACGGTTTTCAAATTTTAGCCAGCTGCTTACCGCATTTCAGGAAAACTTTTATCAAAAGAACGCGCAGATAACGGCGGGCAAACAATATGAATTTGCCCGAAACTTATTTACACTTAGCGGCAACATTTGTTTGGCATTCCGAATATCTCAGAGATAGTGCCACATCTGTGGGATGCCATTCGGATTGCAGCAGACGCCCGGCCGAATCTAATTTTATGAATGAACCAACTTAGTCGAGAGGGCCGAAGGAAGTGCGAGTATGCGTAATGCAGTAACAAGTCAACAAGCCAACTAAACTCAAACTAATGAATAGAATGGCTCTCGGAACTGTATGTAAACGTAGTTTATCTGAGGGTAAATATTAGTTATGATAACAGTGATGAATACATTGCATCTGGGTCGGGTCGTTCTCGAGATAGTTTTCTTCGCCCAGATCTCCAGGTTAGCCTAATGTGTGGGAACCTCTGAATAGATCTTTTAGTTTTTAGAAGGTGGGCAGAGCGGAAGTCTAGGGTCAGATAAGAATGGTTCCGATGTGGAAACATCTGTGGCTTCACTTTGCATATCCCACCTCCACGACCTCCTATGCAAATTCACTGCGACACATCCGGGATCGCTTAAGTTCCTTGATATACGATTTCTTTCAGCTCAGCCGGTTAATTACCTTCAAGGGACACTTAAAGACCGAATGACCACTTGGGCCGATCTGCGACAGAAACAGAAGCTCAACTCCACCGGAACCTTGACACCCAACACTGGGGTGTAGTCACCCTCGTCTTTTTTTTCTGTTGCCACTAAATTGCCGAAACCCAATAATTCTCACATTCGCCGCTGACTTTGATTGCTCCTTGCGGTTTCCAATTTCCAGGAAGGATCGAGAAAGGGTTGAGGGTAAGGGTTGTTTCGGCTGGCCAATAATATTTAATAACAATAGATATAAATATTGAAAGTATTATTGAGTCATAATATGGACTCTTTCGCACTTTTCGTTGGACATGAAATTTGAGAAATTCGATTTGGCTGTGGCATTTCTGATCCCATGTAATCTCATCTGGCTTATCTGGGATCCCAGTTGGGCTCGTAAATAACATTCGAACTGCTCAATTTTCAGTGTTATTCTTCTGGGCGATAAAGGCTTATCGCAGGAGGAAAACTCAAACTGGAGCAGGGCGAAAAGATAGTCCAGCTTCGGATTTCAGATCACAGCTCGTAAAAAATCGTAAATAAATCAGCAGAGGCGATAAAAAGAAGGATTTGTTAAGTTTGTTTTAAGTTGATTGAAGAAACTTAATGCTAAGATTACTCTCCCAAGTCCAATTAAAATTATCTAGCTTCGCCCCACTCTCCTTTACATCAGGCCACATCCTGTATCGTTTCTCACGGAAATCTTTCCAGAATTTGTTTCATTTTTTCCAGCTCGTTTTTTCCATCTCCACTGCAGTGTAACAAATTCCAATGGGCTTCGGGAATGCACGTTGTACCCCCAACTTATGGTTAAATATTTGAGGAATCAGCCTCAACCATAAATTGTAATCTTCCACGGGCGAGTTGCCGTTAAAGATCCTGGCGCAGTGGATGTCACTTAAGGGTCTGTTATTGTTTTTTAATACTTGTCCAGATGTTGCTTCAAGGTTGCCGTTGGTTTCGACGGGGCAATCGATGGAGTCCCATGTGTCAATGATTCTTTCCCGTATTTAAATACGGTCGCTGCTCGGTTCTTTTTCTCACACTTTAGTTGTCGTGTAGCTAATTTGTGATTTCTGGTGTTTTCGGTATTGGATTTGTTTTACGCTTGCCTTGGAAAACTATTTTCCGGCTATTGGTTTCCATCGACTGGATGGATGACATAAAAGTGCTGGGATGATTTATTGACATGTTTACCGTTCCAAAAGGGGGGAATACTCACTTTTACATTTCGAATTGATACCCGTTTTGTGCCTGGGAAAATACCAGTGAGCACCTGTTTATCTAGTGAATATCCTGCCCAACCTGTAAGCATATCCTGCATCCGTGTTTGCCTCAGGATATCCACCAGGAAATCGGTCTGCTCCAAAATCACGTAAATATTGTACAAAATATTATTTACTTACCGCTCTCATACTGTCAAGGGAAAAACATTGAGGAAATCCCGATCGCCGGCTTTCCCAAGGATATTCAACTACACGAAAACAAAGCGGAAAATCCGAATTTTCCCCAGTAATCCCCCTCATTCCCGTGTGTTTTCAGAGCGCCTGCGCGCAGGCCTCGGTGCAATGAGCGTAATTTGAAGACCGCGAGAAAGGCGACTTAGTTCACAGTTTTCCAATTAGATTTTCCCACACAATAGAGCTCATGGAAATTAGTTTCTTTATGCTTAATTAGGATTGTATATTGAGTTTCCAGGAAGTAGTGCGCTCCAAGCAAATTGCGGCCTTCAGTTGACAGTTGATCTCTGATCTACCTGAGCACAAGCCTGCGGTTTTGCTTTGTTTGCCGTTTAATTGCACTTGCAACTGCAACACACCCATAAAATCTCAACCGCAGGGTCCAAAACAATCTGAGTCAAGTGTTTCTGCACGCAAACGGAAAGATCCGAAGGACTTCTACCTGCGCAGGCGTACTAGCCTCGGTTTCAATTTCATTCCAGCTGCCTTTTTGTGGACACAGGACGAGGTCAGGAAAAGGACGAGGAGTGGTGAGGAAAACGGACATGGCTGGTGGACAGCACTTTTGGCACTCGTTCTGCGGTCTAGCAAACATGTGTCCAAATTTTGTGCTGTGTCAGTGAAGGAGGATAAAACTCAAAATGAGAGCTCGCTTGCGACACACTTGAGGTTGTTGTGCCCACAAAAAGGGATGGAAGGGGTTAAAAATATATATTGCTTAATCATTGATAGGTTAACATAAATATATAGAAGCACTACAAACAACACAAGTTAATCTAAGACCTTTTGATTTGTTGAGAAACTTATAACTGAAAAACAAGATTGCTTCTAAGTTTATAAAATAACCTCTGTGTTTTTTTCTTCTTTTACTTTTCCTTAATTCAGAGTACAATTCCTTCTTCTTTTATTAATATAAAAGTATCAACTTTAATACTTTACTGTTTAAACTTTTTCTGTATGATAATGAGATCAGAATCGGAAAAAGAAAATGTTAACGAGTTGCAGCATCTGCGGTTTGGGGTTGAGTCTTCTGGCATGTGGCCGGATCGTCTTGATTGCCTCGTTTGCTGTTTAATCGCTGTTGACGGGCATAAATTTCGATCCATCCTTGGAGACCCCTCTTACGCAGCCCCCTCGCAAACGACTCACTAACACCCCTTTTCGGCTGATTTGTTTAGTAAACAAGCGGATTAGGCACCAAAGAAATTCGAGAACGCCCCAAGTTGGAAGCCAGCGAAGTGTTGCCCTGATTTGGGTAAGGTGAGATACTCAAATTGGGAAGTGCCCGAAATGGTTTCATTGACAACTGTCACCGCTCCGGACGCAAAACATTCAGACTGACATTTCTATATTTGGAATAGTTTGTTCGTTTACTCGAAATTTCCCACAGTTTTCCAACAGTTTTCGGCGAGGCTGCAATTAAAATTTAATTTTAAAGCCCACACTAATTACGTTTTTTCCCCTGACTATAACTCCTCCTAATTTTCCTATTTGAGCAGAAGTTTTAGAGTACAACCCCCTGTTTTAGTGCCTCGCATGTCCCTGCCTCGATCCTGGTTTCTGTTTCCCCTTGATCCTGTCGCAGGTGGCTCGTTTCAGTGTTTTTTGGTTTTTGAGGGGAGCGAGGACTTGCGTGCCTTTTCCGCGACACAGAGATTTCTCCGGGCTTCGTCTACCAATTTTATAGTTTCCGGATCAAAAGATCACTTCCTGCGGGAAATATGACAGGATGCTTAGCTGACTTTGGTGGGAAAGTTTCATTAAGTATTGGAAAATTTCCTAAACGTTGTCCTGGTTTTCTGTGGTTAGCTAATGATATGTTTTGTCATGTGATAGATACAACTTGGAGTTATTATGTGGGGATTGCTCAACTCTGGGAATTTCTGAATGGAATTGGTTGTAAAAATAGGGAACTAAATGGTGGGGCCCAAGAGTTAGGAGGGAAGTTTATGGGCTTATTTGGGTTTTCTCCGATTTTTTTGTAATACAAAAAGAAATCTTTGCTCTGTCAAACACACACAGAAATCTCTTAAAATACTAATATCAAAATTACATTTTTGTACAAGATTATTAGAGACGATTCTGAGAAATTCTCGTTGCATTTCATAAGGACACCTAACCATGCATCGCTGGTTTTTTGCCACCGAACGGGAGGAGTGTGATGTAAGGCCCCAAGAGGACTTAGTAAAGAGCACCCAGGAGCAAGAGGAGTCCAATCCAATACCAATTCCGACTACTTATTGGCCCTTTTGCGTCAAATTCCACCGTCGACTTCTTGGCAACGAGTATGTGGCCATAAGTGGCAATTGTGATTCTCTCGGAAACTGGGATCCCAAGGATGTCTACGTCCTGGCGAAGTGTGAGTGCCCAGAGTGCTTATGCAAGTGCTTTCAGTTCGAGGCGACCTTGGAGATACCCCGAAACATCGACATCCATTACCGCTACTGTGTAGTTGTATACGATCCGAAGTCGGATGAAGTATATATCCGCTTTTGGGAATCACAACTCAAGCCTAGGGTCATTCGCACATGCCAGAACATGCTGAAGCGCTGTGACAACTTTGGGACACCACACGAGGACGACGAGAATAACAAGGTGGATCGCGGATGGGCCACCACCGAGACCATTGTCCACCTAAAGATCTTTAATGCTCCTTTTATATGGCAGCGTCAGAAGCAGAGGCTTCTGTATGTCCATATTCAGCCAATGTTTGAGGTGGCGGAAGATCGTTGCTCTGACCCGGCGAACCCCATCAAAGCGGGTTCGTCGAATACGCGCTTATCGGGCTTTATTGATATTCACCAAACGAAAACCGCCGATCTTCAGCTTCGAATGGCCCAAGTCGAGGTGGTGAACCTTTGCTCCCAAAAAACACTGTCTAATCAGCCGGAGACTGGAGTACGATGTGGGCCGAAGGACATGGAGTTGTTCCACTGCTCGATCGCCTTTCCAGCGGAAACGATATACCGCTTGGACCTGTACACCTATGCTCATAAAGCAGGTCAAGACGAACCACCCTACCATTACGGCTATGGCTTCCTAATGCCAGATCAAATGGTGGACACCGAGGGCTCTGTCCGAGTGAAGATCACCTGTGCTTCCACCCACCGCCCTCTAATTGAGATGTGTGTGCGATACCTATTAATCAGGCCCTTGGCCAGTTTCAAGTGTGATTTGAGCCACAGCTACGAGCGTTACTGGCGCAAAAACCGTCTGTGCATGAACATCGGCCATAAGGGATCGGGAAATACCTACAGGCTTGGAGCTGATTTGATTAGGGAGAATACTCTATATGGCTTTAGACAGGCTGCCCTGGCCAATGCGGATATGGTGGAGATGGATGTACATCTCACCCAGGATGCCCAAGTGGTGGTATACCATGACTTTGTCCTCCGATTCCTGCTGCAGCGAATGCCCAGCTATGAGGATCTCCTCGAAAATCAGGACCTGCAGATCTTTGCCTTTGAAAAACTGAACAGACTTATGCTGCTGGCTATGGGAGGCTTAAAGCGAAACAATCTAATTGCCGTGCCTCTAGAGGCATTCACCTACGATCAGCTTAAGGATGTGAGAATGCTGAGGTTTGCTGGTAGAAAGGGTTGCGAGTCGTCCTGCGATCGGATGCTTCAGGAGCAGCGTCCCTTTCCCTTGCTCTTGGACCTCCTTGATCCGGAAAGTCTGCCTCTGGGTATGGGCTTTTTAATCGAAATCAAATGGCCTCAGTTGACTAATTCACGGCGCTGGGAGAGTGGCAGTTTCAAGTCCACCTTCGACCGAAACTTCTATGTGGACACCATCCTGGAGACAGTCCTGAAGAATGCCGGCCAGCGTCGTATCATCTTCTGCAGCTTCGATGCCGACATTTGTGTCATGGTTCGGTATAAGCAGAATATCTATCCAGTGACTCTCCTCATAGAAGATCCAAGCTCGCCGGTTCAGTATGCAGATCAGAGAGTAAATGTTTTGGACTACGCCGTGGAACTTTGTCACTCCCTGGAGTTCTTGGGGATGACCCTTCATCTCAACTCACTGCTAAATAAGCCAGAGACAATGGCTAACCTGCATCAGTTCGGTCTTGAGGCTTTTGTCTACGGCCCTCCCGCCACAAGCCTAACCGTTCGTAACAGACTGAAGAAACATGGAGTGCTGGGCATCATCTACGATCGCATGGACCAACTGGACCAAGTCGGCGATGAAATCGAGGGGGAAACGATATGTACCATTGATTCGGTGACCACAAGACGCTTGATCAGGGAAATAGAGGTGGAGGAATGGCAGCAGAAGTGTGGCTACAAGCGAGAATCCGTCGTCGTAGAGCGTAACATTTACATCGATTGATGGTCTCTAACCCGATTTTACCCCGCTGACTAATAAAGTACCTAAAGTTATGTGCCCTGTGATAACAGTCCAAATCCCTGCTTCTGTAATCACCAGCCAACGTCCAAGGCGGACCATAAAGACAAAGAGGCATTACACGTCTAAGCCGAGAATATCCCACAAGACCAAAGCCAAAGTTACGACAATTGTCAACAGAGAAGGACCAAAGAGCTAACCCCTTTTTTTTGCACACTCCCCGCGAATTGGCAAACTTTTTTCGCAAACACTCGCGCTGCGGATGATAAGCTCATGTGAACTATTGCCGGGTAGATAAACAAAGGACCCGAATCCGGAAGCTGCTGCTGGCGGCAGAAGGGGTTAAGATGGTTAAGACGGTGCGGTCCAGAGTCCTGTTGGGCGGTCAAACGACACGGCATCGTAAATGATATCCCGTGGCGAATGGGTTCCCTTTATAGGCCAGTGCACACTTTAGCAACACTCACTCGAGGCTGGTCGCTGGTCGTCTTGAGCCCGTTAACCCCTTTTGCATCCTCATCTTTGTTCTCGTCCTGCCGGGGTATTAATATCCTTTTGCATATCACTCACACCGGGACGAAGACGTTAGCTCAGTGGGATGTGGGTTTTGGTAGTTGTGCAACTTCCCCCCATACATGCCATTATGCTATTTATCATAATTTTTCAATTTAACACTGCCATACACTCGGGACAACGGCACAGCACACATCCCGACAGAAAGACAACACCGTAGCTCATATCCTTCTTCCTGGCGCATAGTTTCCAATGTTTACTTGCGCAAACATCCTTTGACGAACTTTGCCCATTGTCCAGACTTTGCTTTGATGATAGGGCTTAGCTGTACCTTTGCTTTTTTGCATTCTCATCGATTCCATCTTTCGCCATAGCAGTGTGTGCTTGTCCTGCCCAGGAAGGATCTCGCTTCCCTACGCTTCCGATCTTATGGCCATCGTCCGTTAAGGATGACGTTATTAATGACATTTTGACACTTACGTCTTGATATTTGCACAGCTGGCCGTTTGTCTAAGGACTTTTGGCGATTGCAGCGAGTGAAAAAGGTCAACTATCCACTTTCTTTTGGAAAATTTTATGGTATCTCCTATTTAAATAAATGTGTAATTATGTTGGTTTAAGGTTAGTGTGGGGTTGAAATTGATTCTAAGTATAGTAAAGGTATATTATTATGCTAGTAAATATTTAAAAAGGATTCGATTAATGGGTTGATGGAGTATGTGTATCTATCAAACATAGGACAGAAGTGATTTATTACAATTTTCTTAATATTATTTTACAACAAACAAAGATAAAGATGTAATTTAATCTACAATCTATTTTAGTAGCTTTTTTAAGGATTAATCTTGCCAAGTAACTGTCTCTTAGAAAATAATCAAATTAAATCATAACTCCCAAAATATTAAAACAAACTTTCACAGTTCAGGAGTCCCTTAAGTATTGTCCGGTTCTAGCACACGGCAGCTGTCTTCAGGGCGATCGGATGACCACCCCAGCCCGGTCGCTTCCAACCCATTGCATTCCCCTGGTATGGTCTTTGTCCCGGATTGTTTGCCTTCAATTTGACTACAAACCATAATTTATCTTTTCAGACGTGTTGGTCAGCGCGACAATGGCGGGCCAGCGACAAGGATTATTGATTATGCAAAGTGCCCGGTGCCCAGGACAATGCCGAGAAAAACAAAGGCTTAAGCAAAGAGAAGAAAGGATTCCAAAAAGGAGTCTCAGGCTGCGCGAAGATGAAGGGGTTGCTCTGAAGCGAACTGGACAGCGGTCAGTGGAAGTTATGAAATGTCCGTGGAGGAATCTGATGAGCCGGGAAAGTATCCCCTTACAGGACACAACGCGTGTGTTTTCGCCCATTAGAGAGATAATAGTTTTTGACATTCCTCGTCCGTTTGCCGGTTTTCTCAACCTTTTCAGTGTTAATGGTCAGTTTCGCTATTTTGGCATGGTTAATTAATATCCAGCTCTGGCCGAGTGTGAGAAACTTAAAGGCAAAGGTGAGACTGGGCGAGGTGAGAGGCCCGAGCTGTTGACGGATGCTGATGGATTAGGGAAATAATTAATGATGTATCTGAATCAACGGTATCTGAATGGTAACTGTATCTCGTTTTCTGACCATCTAATCGATGGCTATTATGGGAGCAGGACCTTTGATTCAAACTGAACTGGTTCAGGTTGGTATTATGTTCATCCCATTTAGGGCAGAACTCATTTTAAGTTTTTCCTGATAAGAGTATGAAATAAAATCCTAATCTTAGTCTTAATGTTCAATATGATTCGTAAGATTTACATTATTTCCATTGAAAGATTTGCTTAAAATACATTCTTAACTAAAGTTCTTTCCATTACTTTTAGTTTCTCTGTAAATTTAAAAGAAAATATATGTATAAAATCAGGAAATGTGATTTTTTACCATACAAAAACGGATCATTGGCTGGCACAAAGAGCTGTTTTCAGCAAAGGAATACACATATCAGTTCCAATGAAATGAGGGGAAGTATCTTCGGGTTCTTATTCGTTCTGAAATCTGTTTTCTTCTTGATGTTTCCACTCGCGCTGCAGACAGTTGGGTTGATAAGAGGCATTTTGTTTCTACGAGTGCCTGATAAGCGCCATTTAAGAGAGCGACTGAGGCGAGGTCAATTGACCTGCTTTTAAGCAGAGACTTGTGCACGTCCGTTCATCAAAAAGCGCTTTCGAGATAGCCATTCCTCATCCCCAACCTCTCCATTCCCTCTGCCAACCCAAAAACCAATCTCGCTAATCTATCAGTCGAGTGTCTGTCTTTGTTTTTGTCCCGTCAGGCAAGTCAATTGCCAAGCCAAAAAATGTAAACAAACTGAGAATAGAAAAATAAATATATTAAAAAACAAAACTTCCACACGCTTATAGCGAACAAATAAGTGGCTTCACATATACACACAGATGTGTCATCTTATCAGTGAAATGAGGATCCAAAGATGATGGCCACATCAGGCGAGAGCTGGGAGATTAATTCAGCTGCTGCAAACTGAACTTTTGTCCTGGAACAGCAGCAGCCGCATTCCCTGATCTTTGGCGACATCAATTTTTAGGGTGAACAATTTCAATTAGGTTCACGTTGAACCGCGATTGAGATTAACGCACTGCAAGTACATAGTTTCTGATAATGCAATTATTGTTCAGCATTCTCTATTTGCGTATTCCGCACGGTTGGAAAACGCCAAACGGTTAGCTGTATCCCACGCTCTTGGAATCACAAGACAAAGGCGGTTTATTGGCGATGGGACAATAGATGGAGACTCATGCGGTCTGTCGCAGCCATTAGAAGCACATTAGGGTGCCCACTCACAGGAGCAGCGACACATGCAAGCTGCAGTTTAACTGTTTTGAGACACAGATACACGCTCTTCAAGATACGACTACTTAGGATCCAAACAAAGGCGCCTTTTGTTGGCTCGGCTATATGGTTGGATGGTTGGATGGATGGATGGATGGATGGGTTCAGGGTCCCTCCGCATCAGTCTCCGCTCTTGGCCAACCGCAAATGACGCAAAATTGTCGCCAAGGCAGAGAGTTTACCCACGCACAAGCACACGCACACTCACATTGAAATCTCTTGACAAGATAACAAGATGCAACTGTGAGATACGAATGGCCACAAAAATACCGTTTAATGAGGCCCTCGCACACAGCTTGACTATTTCTTAGATCTTATCCAAAGGGAGTCACTCAAAGGATATTCGGCCGGCTGCCTATTCTCATTGAAATCGATTCTATTCATCCTTCTGCCTTTTTCGGGTTGCCTGCCATTGGCCCATAACTCTTGTCACTTTATGCACCCGGCTTTGTTTGGCCACAAAGTGTCGCTGACCAAGTCCCTAAAATCGATTGAATTACCCGCTGCCTAACAGCTTCCTTCCGCAATTCATGTCAGGCCTTAAACTCAAGGGTTTAGGGCCTCCAAAGTGCAGCGTCAACCGTCTTGAAAGGATTTAGTGCGACTGCATTTCCACAGGAAACTACTGATTGGATTCTGCCCAAGCAGGGTATGAATTCATGTCGTCAGCTTTTCACATATTCTACTGAAAGCCCTGAAAGGATAATTGAAACGAGCTCTTGAGACCCTTTCTGAGAGAGGAGAGCCTCTCCGCACATGAATATGTAATTTTGCCAGGATTTGAATAGAAGGATGTGGCAAAAAGCCTCAAGTGGCCATTGAAGAGCTTCCATTTTGGGTGTGGGTGAAAAGTATGAAAAGAATCAAAATTAAGTGGAAGTTTCCCAGCTCATCAGTGACTTGTGTCAAAGAAAAGCCTCCTAATTCAAATGCGGCATAAACCTTTTTCCCCATGACAACATATTAAAAGCGGCTTAAGCCGTAAACAATGCGGTTTTAAGGCCATTTGCCCCACCCTCGTCGCTTGGCCGCTGAAAAGTTTAAGCGATTAGCGCAATTTAGCGAAAATAACATGCGAAATTGCTCGCTCGAACGCCTTTTCAATGACACTTGGATACAAAACAGTCGCCGTTGCACAGATAGTGCTAAAAGGGGAATCCCGCTGAGCCGAGCGCACTTAATGTGGGAAAATCGTCGTCACTTGTCAGTGTACACGCCCACCTCAAACAACCCTCGTTTCCACGGCCGAAAAGTGTTAAAACACAATGAGCCCAAAACACACACACACAATTGTTGCGGATCTGGAGATCCTCTCATCTCCACAAGCGGATTGCCCATGCTAATCGTCAGATGCGTAAAACTCAATGAACATTCAAGTGCCAAGGGTCCTCACAATAGCCCAAAAGGATAGCCAAAGGAGCTAAAGAAGCTACCGAAAATAAAAAACAAACAGTAGAATTTAGAGGAAGAGATACCGAGATCGTGAACCCATAATCCTTTCAATGCGCCACTTAAGCCGATCATCAGGAAACGGGATGGAAAGAAACCCTTGCCGCATCTCCTGATCCGACCTTTGGAATCTACGCGTGCAGTCTCCGCTGAAATTCCATTGTGGACCATTTAGTGAATGCGGTTCGTCGGGTGTTTGGCCCATTTTGTGTCGGGGCTTGCCATTCGCAACTCACAACTGGCAACTGAAACTCGACAAATTAGGCCACTCAGCTTCCACTGGCCTTTGTTCGCCTTTTATCCTTTTTTCGGATGCCTTGTTTGCCCTTCTCCTTCTTAATGCCCGAGATCAAAATGTTTGCGTCGAAGGGTTGATCTTGTTGATCTCGTTTTTTACGACAAGGATCCCTTTACCACTGATATGATTTATTTATTTGTATATCTGCAGGCCGGGGCTATCTCGATCTGGGACAGTCGAATGCTGCTTAAGGACTGCCCTTTATTTGGCTTGACTTTTGCACTCTCATCCTTGGGATGCTGCACGTGCCAAGAGATTGCAATGATCTGGGGCAGATCGAATGAAAATATAAGTATAAAAATAAATATAATAGTGAATTGCTGATATTATTCAGATTTTACTTTATTACAACTTAAAATGTATTAACCATTAATAGATTTCTACCCATCAAAACTGTTTTTGGCACATTTCAAGCAGCTTTCATCTTTTTGAAGGGCTGTTAATCTAAAGCCAAATTTCAGCTTTCGCTGCTACGCAAATTGTCCATTAGGCTAATTACGCAAACATTTGTGAATTTACTTATCCGAAAGATTGAAACGCAAACCTCTTGTTGAACTCAAAAATCTGTTGATTGATGGCCGCATTGTTCGGGCTTGTCAGTTGCGCCATCGCCATGCAAAACCAATTGTCTGGGCACCCAGAATGGATTCGGATTACACCTGGACTTGGGTCTCTGGACCGGAGACGGCGCAGAGCAAACAGATTATTTTCATAAATTAGACTTTATTAATGATTAAGGAGACAGCCTTCGAGACGGGATGGCCAGGACAGTTGAAGGACAACGAGTGCGACTGCCGAAACGGGGTTGGACTGGGATATCCTTAAAGGATGCGAGTGCGGTTGAGGAGCTAGAAAACTGGACAGTGGTCAGCGCATTGGTCAGTCACGCACGTAATTTTGGCATTACCCCTTCGGGACAGCAACTCGCAACGGGATAGGCAGAGATCAGAGGTCACCACCGTACTTTTGCCCGTTTCTTCTCACAGTCCCGAGCAGCAGGAAACTTAAGACGTTTTCACGATGAATTTTAATGATTTTTGTATTCAAATGCGGATTGATCCAACCAGTTTGGTCACTTCCTCGAGGACCCAAGGGAGTGTCCTGTGAATGGCAGAACGCATATCCTGCTGACGGCAGGATTGGCCCATCGCCCATCGGTCAAGCTGAATGCGAATCTCATTCAAAATGGCCAATGTCCCATGTTCGGCTTTGAGCTTTTATTACCGACAACTCTTTGTTTGGTGGCCTCGACAAAGGGGTCAATCCGAAAGGGCAACAGTTGATGTTCAGGGCGCATGTGTTGAGTCCTGGAATGGGTGGCCATTTTGTAGCCAGAACTAAGGGAAAAATGTAACTAAATGAAGGAAGACAGTTTGCAATAGTTAAGTGGAGTAGTTTGTGATTTGATTTTATAGTTTAGCAACACAGAATTTCATTAAAAAGAAAAGATTTACTTCCTCAAAAAAACTTCTTTTCATTTTAATATAATTTTATATCTTGGAAGTTCCACAAGAAAAGTAATTATGATATCCGGTGTGGAAGTATTTTCTCGCCGAAGAAATAAACTCTTCAAATGAACTTTGTCCGTTGACTCGTGTGGACCATTAACAAACTTTTTATGATTTTATTTAAACGGTATTATGCTTTGCGACAAAATCACCTTTACACATGAATTTTTCCCGTCTTTTTATGTTTTTTTAACTGCTGGCCCGACGCTCTTTTAATGGCCTCCACTTGACCACCAGGCCACCTTAGTTGGTTTGTTGACACCTGCAGCTCAATTTCGTCTTTTAGATCATAAGTAAAAATCTGAGATTGTCACTTCTTGCTGGATGGGTTTAAACTTTGATCTAGGCCGACTTTTAATCACTAACTTTACGAGATATATATTTACAGGTAATGCACTACCGGAAGTTTTTGAGCTCGTTAAAATTCCCAATTTAATGAAGATAAATCGTAGTTGGATTTCATTAACCATAGGCCATAAGAATGGGAAACTGTTTGGGTTTGAAATTTCACCTTTTGACACCGTCGCGGGTTGTACTTGGATGTACTTTCCAGCCGAAAAGCAGAGACTGCGGCAATGGTGACATTTAAATTAATAAACTGCCAGAGAGTTTGGGCCGTAACAGGCGCGTAACTGCAGTCAATTATTCGGCCGAAAATATCCTGTTTCCAGCATCCAGTTTCCACATCGGCAGCAGCGGCAGCATCATCATCATTATTATTAACACTTTCCACGGCCATGGACTCGCCACTTGAACTTGGTTCGGCAGTGGCCCGGGTTGTTCCTCTTATTGTGTCTCTGTAATGCTATATAATTACACCATCAAGTTGACTGATGACACGGAATGAATCTTTGTCGCTCCCTTACACAACATAACACTCGCACACCCGATATTTGCATAAAATCATAATTTTTCTTTGTAGCAACCCGAGGGAAACCCTTTGCCCGGTTTAGGGATATCCTGTCGCTATGTTTCGACTTTCCCTTAAATGCCAGCAAATCGAAGGAATGAGTTTAACTGAAATGGTTCGGGAATCAAGATGCAGGAGTCCTGAATGTAATAAATTTATTTATCAGTTCCAAAAGCATCATTAACTTCAAGAAGCGTTCCATTTTCTTAGTTCTTTGACTAATTTTATTTAGATTTTGACTTTTCTTAAGACTAGAACATTCATTACCCAACACCATTGACTTATCTTTAATGGAATTCCAGTTCTCCCTTTCTTTCTGGCTTACAGTGGCAAAACAATTGATCTGGGCTCCAATGAATGGACCGAGCTAATCCCAGCCATATGCGTTCCCTCTTAGCCCCGATCCGTCATTGGGCACAATCGGAGGTGTCAAAAATTTTGACACTTCAATTTCTTCTGCTCGCTAAAACACGAGACAAATGAGCAGCGCGTGTGTTTCCTCATTGCGTTCCATGCGAATGTCCTGGCTGAAGGATATACATATACTCGTACATATCTGTGTTCCGGATTGGTTTTTGTGTAGGTGCAGCCGTCGTCTGTCAAATGCGTCTTGTCATGCATCAAAAAAAAAAAAAAGGAGAAATGAAAGGAAGTTGAAAGCCAGAAAGCAACGAAGTCAAAGCAAACAGAGTGAAATGGCAGCGGGGAAAATTAAATTGAAAATTTCAACAGAATCAGAACAAGGTGGATGGGGGAGGGTGGAGGGGAAAGGCTGCCACCAGGTTGCCACAGTTGACTCTTTTGATAAACAAACAGACAGCAGACAGAGCCATTGCAAAAATGTTGATTACAGTCAGCGAAGGAAAAGCAGCGACCAAAACAGGAGAGCACTGGCAAAAATCACAAACTTTCTTAAAGGATTTTTATGAATGATAATTTTTCGATAATAAAACTGTAAGTTATCTAAATCAATCAAATCAATCAATCAAGATAATGTCATTAGCTTTGCAGATTGTAAATTCACTGAACTTCAATTTCTTGCAGTGCCTCGACAACAACGGGACAGTGGGACATATGAGACCGCTGCTTCCGCCTTTGAGTCGCAGCCGCAGCCGCAGCCAAAGGACATGCGCCAAAAAAATAAAAATCATAAAAAAACGAAATGAAAGCTGCCGAGGAAATGAGAGAAGCGGCGAAAAAATGAAATAAAAATCCAGCCGCGACTCACAACTTCCATGTGTATCCATGTCAGCTTGGCTTTTGTGCTATTTGGAACGAGTTGTCAAATAAAAGCGGCAGCCAGCGGAAAAGAAGCCAGGGGACGACCAGGAGGAGCTGGATCGTTGACTTGGCTGGCTGCCATCAAAATGGCGTCTGGCCCGGTGAGGACTTTAAAAAGCTGCACGGAAATCGATGTGGAAAAGTCAGCTGCGACTCCTGGTTGCTTTGCCGCCTCACCTGTCGCAGGACAAACAAATTTTAATCAAAATAAAAAAAGGAGAGCAAAGTAGAGGAAAAACTACAAATCACATTTCCTGTGGCAACATCAACTTCCTGTTTGTGTGGCATGGAAATCTGCTAGTCAGCGTTTCACACGCCGCCTCTGACAACTGCAGCCGCTTTGATGTTGCATGCAGCGCGTATTTTCCGCTGTGTGTCATTTAATTGTCAGTCAGTCAGACAGTCAACAAGAGTCCGTCAACTTGGTCAGTCATGCACTCAATCAGTGGCCAGGACACTCTGCGTTCACCCCCTGCGACTTGGTTAGCGACCAGGTCCTCCCCCTCGATGAAGTGCAGTTTTTAGTTCCGTTTCCCCTTTATCAGGAAGTTTGACTTCCTAAGCGGAACTCGCTGCATTATCCTTCCATGGGAATGCCAGGAGTAGAAGCCCTGCGGGGTGGCAACTGCAGCAGGACCAAAGGACCAAAGTTTGTAATCAGTGGTCGCAGCTCTTTGTGGTTTATGCTGCCAGCTCCTAATTGATGCAGTTAGCTGCGTGCTATGACTGGAACTCTTTAATTGATACTTTTGAGTTGGGAATAGATTGGTACAGCAGTGATAATAACTTTGTTTAGGTGAACATTTAGTGGGAACTAGTTAAATGTTGTTTATGTTTTGACTTTAAGGAGGGTTTTAATATTAGGAATTGTAAAATACAAAGTAAGAACGCTACAGTCGGTTGTCTTATCCATCAAATAGTTTGGAATTTGTATGCTTAATAACTTTACTTAAGAACTTACTTTACTTAAGAACTACCCTGGGTATAACCTATGCTGAACTTCGATTTCACTACAAATGAGAAATAGAAAAAGTAATAGTTGGAATTTAGTTCCTCAAATTGGATACACCCACCACATAATTGGCACACAAAGACATAGTTATTGACTTGTAATCCATTTATTTTACATGCTCTTACAAGCTCCCCATTTTCGTACAACGCTCATCATTTGTTAATCAGACTTAATGCCCCGAGGAACCAAACCGCACCTGCTGCCACACCACTCTGCGGCCCCACCACAGCGGAATCGCTGAGCGATGCTTAGCCGGAATAAATCTACCATAAAGATGCTTGACATTATTCAAAATACCAAAACTACAGAATTCCCAAAATGCCTGGCCGAAGAAGGAGGAGCTGATCCAAGCTGGAGCGGGAGTGGGAGCGGGAGCTGGAACAGTTGGACAGGGCGATAATACGACGACGCTGGCAATGGGCAAAAAAGGCAATAAAATTTAATGCCAGACCGAGGGAGCCGCGAGATCGAGTGGAGCATGGAGGCACAAACGACTTCATTTTATCTTAATGTGCTAATAAATTTTCCAGAGACGAAATCTCTGCCAAAAACCAAATAAATTTACTAATACGCACACGCTGTGGGGGGATGTCGCCGAAAATGAAATGGAGCGCCAAGTAGTTGACTGAGTGGCATGCGTGGAATCGAAGAAATGCAATTAAGGCAGCCAAATCATCTAGAGAACCAGTCGCCGGGGCGTCCCGCATGCTGTCTTAAGTGTTTAAGTAGCTAAACGCCTGACAACCGGAGAAGTTATGGCCCGGCCTGCAGTTTGAAGTTGGCGCGTGCTCCGCGGATCGACGGCACCCACATCTTCATGCCGAAAAGTATTCTGTCAACACAGCGCGGATTTGGATAGAGAAGTTCCTCCTCCGATCTCCACTTGAGTCTGGTGCGGACAATACCAATTCAACCCTATACTCTACCCTACTCTGATCACCTCCCCGAATGAATCGTTCAAGTGAAGTTGCCCTAAAAGGGTTCATGCCTCCAGCTCGTAAATTTGATAGCGCTCAAGTGGAGATCTGGCACCTGAGTTGGCTATTTCTCTTATAGGGAGTTGGGATCAATTCATTTCGAATGGTTTTCCAAATTACCAATTTTGATATCTCAAGTTTTATGATCGTTTGATGGAAAATCGTAATAAATATGACATTTATAGCTTAAGCAGCTGGGAGTATACTTACAAGATTTCCAAACTTTAAAATTGAATTTGAGATCAAACTGAAATAGAACTGTACTGAAAACTGGAGGTCAGTACTGGGCCATTTTTCATTCTAGGCTGTACGCGCCTTTCAGGCGGTTACCACCCTTTAAAACTGTCGCCCAAGAGTCCCGCTCGCAATATATGCAATCTCATATGCATTATTTTGCATGTCTGTCGAGTTAAGGAACTCAAGCGTAAAGGTCAAAAGATCAACGCTGGCAGGGGGAGAACTGCAAGGGAGGGAGGTTTTTCTAAGGAAATTCTCGTCCACTTTTCCTGTGCTAATGCTCTGATTTCGTTTTTGAAAAATGTATGCAGCATTTGCATTTGCCCATTGTCCAGTTCGCTGATTAGGCGTGAAGTTTGGGATTTGAATAAGAGGTTTACGTAGGGCGCCAGAATGCAGTTACTTCTTTTTGGCGGGAAAACTAAAGGAATGAAAATAATCTAAGAAAATTGTGATACATTTTTAAAGAAATTTATATTTTGATATAACTTTTATGGCCTAAAAAATAGGTAAATGCGAAAAGACGAGTTCTTGTGACTAATTTTATAAAAGTTTTCTAAATAACTATGTTTATGATTATGATTTTAAAAAATTTGTAATATTTACATCTTTTAAGATCTTATTTCCTATTCATGCTTATAAAGAATGTCAATCAAAAATATAAAATAAGAACATTTTCTATATCATTTGTTCTCCAACTACATAGAAAACCTTTATTCAAATCCAAGAATCTAATTTTCTAGGCACGCAAATATTCCAGAGGTTTTCCTAAGAAGTTTTTCTCCCAAAAAAAACGAGGTCAAAATCTCCTAATTAAGGTCACTTTCATCCCAGCTCCCCAGACCATCAATTTTTTGCCGAACAAACAGCCTTACAACACGTTCCGCCTTATTATGACCATGCGAACAAAGAACAATATAAAAAAAAACAGAGCAAATTTTTACCACCCCAGCGGGGCTGGCAAGAAAAAATAACACTTAAAAAATTTGCAAACATGTTTTGCATACAGCCAAACCGATCATCAAATATTCACATGCAATCAACGGAGGAGATCTTAGGTAAATTTTCACCCAGAATGTACAACGCACCCAAGACAAAGGCGAGAAAATGTCCAGAATGCAACCACCGATCTCGAGACTCAGGAGATATCCAGCTGCTTGGGAGACCCACGTCACGATCACGATCACGATTGGGACAGATCTTTTGTGCAAACTAGAGCGAACAAATGCGAGTGCGAAAATCTACCCCATAATCCCAGGGAAAAACCTAAAATTAAACTTTGCCGGACAAAGGAAAAATCCCGTTGATGGTGGGGGGAAAGAAATTCAAATGTTTATTTGCGTATCGAAATGTGCAAATTTTTCCCATTTCCTAAAACCTTGAATATTCATAAATCTCTTGGCGAAAAAGTAAATTTCAAATTCTCCACATTGTTGCCAAGTTCGATGGATGGATGCCAAAGTCTGGCGGAAGTGGAAATGGAAAATCTTTCCAGTTATCTACCTCTGACATCATCACCTGTCCAAATCGAGTGGCCCAAAAAGTCCAACACGATAATTGGTGTCATAAAAGTTAGTTAAATCATATTGGACGTCAGTCAAGCCGGTGACATTCCCAAATTAGAAGGAGTCGTGGGGCGGCAACTCCATGGCGTGGTGATTGCCACGGCCATTGTTTCGATGACACGCCAAATGGTTTCTGTTTCGTAGACCACTCCACCTGTCAGCCAAATGGACAGCGAACTGAACACACAATTATCTGCCAAATGACGAGGGCGTGTCAGGTGGCGCTTGCCATTTGGCCAGCTATATCTGTAGGTACTATATCTGTTCTATATGTTTCCCGGTGCGCAGCAATAATCACAAATTTACAGCTCAACGTGGGGGACAGCCGGTTGATGTTGATTCCAGATTGCGTCGATTATATGTAAATTAATTATGGGGTTCAGCTTGGGCTTAATAGTCGAGGATTGCCCCCGCACAGGGGCGAAAGAGATACCTATGAACCCAACCCTAATATCCAACTCACTACTGCCTTTTGCCAAACTAGTTTTGGCATGCAAATTGACAAGTCTCGTCTATGACTTGGCCCAGACAACTGCAGATACTAGTACTAGTATGTGGCAAAGACGTTTCCGTAAGTGGCGGAGACAACTCAATGAGGTCTGTAAATGTTATGCTCGATTGAGGATCCCGATCCCCAAACAGAAGACATTGTAAGTGAGTTAACATGAAATGGCAGATTCAGATACAAATGCAGATTCGCTTGGCGATGGAAATGGAGATGAAGATGCAGTTACAGATACAGTTGCAAATGTGCAGCTGCCAGCGATCGAAGTGGCGCGATCATGTGCAAAATGCCTCTTTTCGTGTTCGTTTTTTTCTGATTTCTTTTCGGGGTACTGCCATTTCGCCTCCTGGGAGCACTTGACACGAAGAAATAATTCCATTGAGTTGGCAACTATGCCGGGAATCTCGAGCGAGACAAAATTAGACAAGAAGCGTGATTTACGGAACCCTTAAATCACATGACAACAACACAGAGATCGGCACAGATCGAGAATCGAAGAGCAAATGCGATGACAATGTCTGGGCAGCACATGTGGATGGATGCAGCTCCATAGCTGCTGTGGCTGTTGAGAACTGGGAATGGAGCTGGAACTGGGAGGCGGACAATGACAATGATACTGATACGGAGTCGATCGATCGACGCTTCCCTCTGGCAGTCCTACTGATTTATGGCAATGCAAACGGGAGACAGATCAGACAGATCTAGAGGAGTAAGAGATCAAAGCGAATCAGACAGTCTGCAGAGCTTAATGCCCTGGTAATTTTATATGCTTGTACTAGGCACTGATCATCGATCACTGATCATTGATCGTGTGACCACACTGGGGTATTTCCAGTCAATAAAAAACCGACTTGTTGTTGTTTACCCACTTAGGAATCGAGACGATTCTATCAGACTAACAGCTACCACATCTCCCATCTTCCGCATCGCTTTGGTTTTGCCCAAAAAAACAATCTTTGTTTACAAGCGACTGAATGACGAACATATCACACCTCTAATTCAAGCAATAAACTTGTTTTTTGAATGACTAGTAAAAGTTAGGCCTTAATTTTGGCATCGCATTGCGCTAGATACAATAATTATTAGCAAACCTTTCGAATTATAAAGACCTTATTCAAAATATATATAAATATTACTTTCAAATGAAAGGAATCCCCTTAGAACTTGTAAAGTTCTTAAACAAATATTGGGGAATATAAATTTGCATTAATTGGATTTATACAGACCGGCACGAGATGCCGGCGTGAACCTGTTTTCAGATTTATTTATTTCGTCATCGAGTTTGGGAATATTTTGTAGAAATGCACAAAAGGAAACCGCAAGTGGGGACGCTTATTCTTCTAATATTTGTATTTAGTCACCTGGGTAGAACAGGTTCCACATTTGGGCATCGCATTTTGTTTAGATTTTTCTTGAATCTCATTAATATCCAGACGATAAATGCCCGAATCTGCGTTCCACGTCCAGTATAAAAGCCGATCTCAAGAGCCGGCTTTAATCAGTTAACCGAAAAATTTCATTGTCATTGGAAGTTCTCGTATCGAAAGTGAAAATGCGTTCCGCGATTTTGTTTGGCCTAATTGCCTGCTTGGCTTTTAGCCTTGTCTTGGCCCAGGAGCAGTCACCAAAGCAGTCCAACGATCTGTCGTCAGTGGAGAAGGATATTGGCCAAGCTGTGGAGTCCCAAGTGCGAGCTAAGAGGCAGTTCGGCTTCGGTGGTCCATTCGGTGGATTCGGAGGACCCATTGGCTTTGGCGGACCATTCGGAGGAGGATTCGGCGGTCCCTTCGGAGGCTACGGCGGAGGATTTGGTTACGGCCGTCCCTTCTACGGAGGCTATGGAGGCTTTGGACGTCCCTTCTACGGAGGCTTTGGACGTCCTTTCTATGGCTAAAATCGAAGGCTATACTAGGGCTATACCAATAAACGAAGACTGAAGACTTAGATTGTGTGTTTATTCTGAGGTGCTGGGGATATTCCGAGTCCCAAAATTATCTCCCAACTTGACCTCGTCCCATATGAATGTGTGTGACCCAAAACGACGACGTGATCGAAGGCGGGAACCCGGGGGCTGGGGAATATTTTAAAAATAAATAACAGAAAATCTCCATTTATTTATTAGTTCGTCGGCGGGGTCTTGCTCCTGAGCCATGCTAATTATAAGTCCAGGAGGAGGGTGTGTTTGTTTATGTTCCACGGGCTGTCACGATCTGTTTGCCTTCTTTTCGGGCACTTTGCAGCTCCTCCTCCAGATTAGGCGGCTTGTGTGGGAGTTTTGTCGGTGTTTGCGGCAATTATCACGTACGATTGTCATAATTATCATTTGGATTTTATTAGCTGGACCTCTGGGCCAATCTCTGCCTGTCTGTCTGGACTGGCTGGCTCTTTCTTCTGCAGAAGCATCTTTGACTTGTGCAAAGTCAAAGAAATAGTTAAATATTTGAGGGATGTCATATGAATATAACTGACATTTTTTGGGTAAGTAACTTTTCTGCAAAGCTGCAACCATTAATCAAGTTAACAATTAGTCATTTAGCAGTCAGCTAATCAAATTTGCAGCATATGCGTTAAATATCCCATAGAGTTTTATTGGCTCACCGGAATGATGTACTAATCCCATTCTAATCAACATGAAAGCCACGCAAATTATCCTTCGCCCGCTTGTGCATATTAATTTACGGCCAAAACCACCAATAGATCCTTATCGAGGGTTCGAGGGGTTCGCGCAAACAAAACGCCCATCTCGATGACTTACCCCAAAAACATAGTACGCCCTCGCTTGAGGACTCGGAAGTGGATTGAGGAGTGGGTCTTGGTGGTGCTGTCATTGTTTAATTGTCAATAGACATCGGCTTCTATCAATATCATAAAAGCTAATAACTCTCGGTTGGCTGGACGAGCCGCAACTGACAACAAACCTGGGCCAACCCCTCGCTCTAATCCCACCGGATATGCTCAATCAAAGCTCTAAGTGGGTGGAGGTGGTCTGGGAGATGGTCGGTTTTGGTAGGTGTGAGGCGGGCAACCTCAACCTGTCTGTTGGGGGTTGCTCGCTAGCTGGAAATCATCGCATTTCATTCATCACTTTTCGCCTTTTCAACGCTAACAACCCTCCACGGATCCACGGAGCAGGACTTGGACATGCTTCCCCTTCTCCTTTCTTGCCTGCCGTGTTTTGATATTAAAATTGCGTAATTATAATTAACCACATGTGTGTGTGTGTGTGTGTGTATGTCAAGGGAAGCGGTTTAGCATGTCCTTTGACTGCTTCCGCTCGTCGGTTAAAGTTACTTCCTCCCGTTAGTGTCACGTGTGTAACTCTGTAAGCGATCCAAGGGAAATCCCCCAGCTCTGCCCTCAGGGGCATAATCCATAACTTAGTCGACTGTCAGGCAATTGATACAACTTCCAAGCGGAGTCACCTCGTAATTAAAAAAGGAATATTTTCATTTTAATTAGGACGGCATAACTTTTTGGTTTATGGTGTCAAAGGATTAAGATTGGCATGCCAATGTTATGCTTAATTGAATGAAAATGAGTATTGGGGTTTTCCATTATTTAAAATGCTAAATACCAATAATTTCCCAAGAAATATATTATCTTTAAAGGGCAAAAATATAGTATAGGACAGAGCTCATTACCATTATATTTGTTAAGCCTATTTTATGGTCGCAAAAACCTAATAAGTGTACAACTTTGAATCTCATTATTTCACAGACCAAGTATAAAAACCCTTGCAATAACTCACTGTGCATCAGTTAAAAGAAAAGGTCCGTCTTTTTGAAGTTCTCGTATCGAAAGTGACAATGCGTTTTGCTATTTTACTTGCTCTGATATCCTGCTTGGCTTTAAGCCTGGTTTTGGCTGAGGAGCCAAAAGACAAGGCCGAGAAGGAACCCATTGGGACTACTGTGAAGCCTCAAGTTCGACCCAAACGTAGTGCTGATAATCCCTCTGCTGCATCTCCTCCGTCTGGTCCTTATGGTCCCTATGGTCCCTATGGTCCTTATGGTCCCTACGGGTATCCATTCCCATACCACCCACCTGGTTACTACAAGGTACCGTTCGCCCAAGTCCACGGCTACAATCTTCCGTATGCCGGCTACTTTTCATTCTGATCCTAAGGCTACAATTTTGTTACCAATAAACGATCAATGAACATTTTTCGGTGTGATTTGAAGACGCAGTTTAATAAACTAGAAGTAAAGGTTGGTCTTTCAAGCTTATAGTAAGCTTTGTACTGAGAATAATATTCAAAATTCCTTCTAGTCGTAAGCTTGTGAAAAGGTTGTAAGGCCTAACGTCATCATCGCCATTCCAAACCAAGATTAACTCTTACTTTTACCAAATGTGTGCAATCCATCAAGTAATGCGTATGGCCCACAAAATTTCCTAATTGTAATTAAGCATGGGAATCGACAAAAGATGCGCAACAGTAGAACTTGGGAAACCCAAGCCGAGCAACCGAATAATGTGGCCAATAAAATGTCTATGAGTCTAGGGTTACAGCTGGAGGAGGAGTGTGAGATGGACCTAGGAGTTGAAGTTGAAGTTGGAGTTGGAGTAGGAGTACGAGTCCAGGGTACAGACATTCCAGATAGCATGTACCATATATACCAGTAAAAGAAACAGACAGAGCCAGAGATGAGAATGGACTTGCGCTGGGGGATTACAAACGTGTTGCCATTAGTTAACTTCAGCTTTGATTGATTTCAATTAATCTTGGACGCGTGTAATTAATCATTGAACACTTTAATATGGTTAACAACTCTTGACCAAGCAACGGTTAAAAAGGTTCAACGAGCGAATGAGCGAACAGGCCCAAGACATTTGGCTCTGGCAACTGACAAAGTGACTGACCACAGAGCCCCCAATTCAGGGGAACTGAGGGGGTCTGCGGTTGCCGGGGCAGCCGCCGCCGCCAAGAAAAATGGCCAAGTTTGGAAAATGCGTTGGAGTAATAGTCGGTAACGAACCCAACGGCATGCCAGGCATATATGTGGATGGATTTCCATAGCCCAGTCCCAGAGGCAAGTCTTCGGATTCAGATTTTAGCTCTGGAGCTGGAGCTGCAGCTCCACACTCAGCCCCCGACTAATTGTGCTTAGATTTCGCGCCACTTTGGGTAGCTTTGTGGTCATGGCAACGTGGAAAGCGGTCCGCGATTGATGGCTATCAATGCCGATGACTTATGGCCGCAGTCGCAGACCGAGGCTCACATGAGTTGAGCCAACGGACCTGGCAAATCCATCCATCTATGTGGCACATTTGACTGCAGCTCGGCTTGATTATCTTGGCTTTTCCTACTACTCCCCCTTGGACAATTGCTGGTCTCGTTTGGATATTGATTTTCCCAGGCAAGGAACAAATAGCTCTGGGCATCGAGGAAAAGTCTGCCGATTTCGTTTGCGGCTAGACCTGAATCAGCGGGTAAGAGATCCGTGTAAGGTGTCATTAGGTGGGTTCGATTCGCCTTCTTTAAATGGAGTTATAATAAGAGTGTGGTGTGCCGCATCACTTAAGACTCCACTCTGTAGAGAGGGCCACAAAGGAAGCCAACCATCGGAAACCAATTGAACGAATTTCACACATGGGCGCTAATGAATTTAATGAAGTCATTTTTCTTTAACCGATTTACAAAACTACTTACAAACTCGGGGGCCAGCCAGCCAGTCCGACTCGTCAGAACAAGCGAGTTCATAATTTTGCATCATTAATCATGGCCTTAACAAAGAGATCTCGGGCAGGGCGATTGACAGGCCAGGAAAAGGGGGAAAGTAATTTAGGCAGCCAGCTTAGATCGCAGAGCGACTGATTTGCCGCTGGGAAATTAAAAAACAATTGTTAATTATTAAATTTTAAATTTTACACTTTTGCCGCAATCGATGTTCATTTCATCGGGGGCTATTCTGGGAGCTGTTCCATAGCTAAAAACCTGGGGCCAATCATTGTGGCTCCGGTCGACACCTCGCTGATGAGATCATTCATCACCGCCGTAACCCGAGTGAAATGAGTTGCCATTGTTGCGGCCTGCAGTTCGGACAAAAAAAGAGTTTGGATTCGGAGGAGAGTCTTCGCTTTTTCCTGTGGCCTCTTTTGGCATGGGTTCATTTCGGTTTGACTGCTCAATTATCACTTTGATGGGTCTGCAGAAGCGGACAGATCGTGAGGACCCGCATGGAGCCACGAGAAAGTGTGGGATTGGAGATGGGGCTGTTAAATGTTTCATATTTGGTTGGGTTGGTGGAGATGAAATTGAATGTCACTTTCCTAATGAATCCACATGGAGATATAAAACCATTGGGGATCCTAAAAACGAAACTTGAATACTTTATGTTGGCAAAACTAAAATAAGAGAACTAAATTATGCTTTCCTAACTTCTTATTGCCGTCATTTTCGAAGGGGTAATGCAGGTTTCCCGAAGTAAAATGTATAATTTAGATTAATCATTTTCGTACGGCAAGGGTCCCTTATAAATAACCCTAAAACCATAGAGTTTAACCTATCGAAAAACATGTATAAAAAATATGACTTCAATTTTACCAAATAAGAAATATGAAAAAATGAAATCCTTGATTCTGTACCTTTTTCTCCCAATAGTCTCAGCTTTTCAGAGCACCCCTTGTTCCTGTTCCTAACTCACCTAATCCAAAATTGCGTTTTTATTTCGGCTGACCGAAACATAGGAAATGCGATCACGACCGCAAGCGTTGCGCATCATTAAAATCGGATTATTGTCCGGCAATAAGAAGACCTGGCAAAGGACGCACAGGCACAGCTGATCTGACCAATGTCCCCGGGATGGCTGACCAGTGTCCGATTCCCACGATGCAGTCGTGGCTATAAATCCCTCTAGAGAGTCTTGGGCAGTATGCAAAAACGCAAGACGCCGAAAATGGAATTAAAATGGAAATGCGTATAAAATCGACCCAAAAGCAACCCCAAAAACCCGAAGGAAACTTGGGTGAAAACCCAGGTAATCAAACTGGACAAGCGGAACCCTTTTGGCGCTGCCATAATATGCTGTAAAATTTTAAGAAAATCGAGCAGAAAATTCTTAGGGGACAATGTCCAGAGATTTCCTCTTCGGGGGTTGGAAATATAATGATTCGAGCTTGGCAGCGTTGAGATGCTGCTGCCTTTGGCAAAGGTTAAGTCCATCGACTGGACACTCGAACTCGAGTTCAAACGGCTACCTGGGATGATCGCTGCATCTCCAAGATATTCGGGCATCTGGTCCAATGATCTTTCATTGTTATCGCTGCCTCGCCTCTGACCTTTGGCTGTCTCACGCAATTAGGCAAACTTAGCCAGGGTCAAGAAATATGTACATATTCCATTTGAATATTTTTGCATCAATCTTTTGCATACAGTTGGCCGCTTTTCTTGTGTTTTCCGTTGTTTGCCAGGGACGCCTCCCTTCGACGGATTTGAATAAGTGCTAATGATTTGTGACATGTTCCAGTGCGCCAAGCCAAAGGCTTTTATGGCGAATGTTTAATTCATGACTCCGACTTGGTCAGAGAGACTCACATAAACAAGGCGGAGCGTACATTATAGTAGATTATACTAAAAAACCCAAAAGGGGGAGGCTCGCATGTAATTACATACACACAGAGATACACAGAAACACACATCGACAGCGACTGACACATGTGAGCAGTGGCTGACCTTTGACATGCGCTCTCGAAATACATTTCGAGTGGAGCACAAACACATGGTCCCTGTCTCTGTCCCTCTTCCTGCCACTTTCTCCCCTCAATGCCCCATTCGATAGTACACCTACTTTGGCTTTCTGTGTCCAAACGAACCCTTAACAGCTTTGTGGCTCGCATGTCAAAGGGGCTGCCATGGAAAGGCTTTGGCCCAAATGCAATTCCAAATGGACAAACGAAAGACTATATAATTGCAGTTATTTTTAATTGATTCTATGGAATATATATACTCGTATATGCTGTCGCATGTGGGTATTATGGGAAACATTAAAGTCTGTTGAGTATGAAGAAAACTAACATCGAAAATAACAAAGGCTTTAAATATTTGAAAGATTTGTATTTTGAAATCAAAACAAAAAAAAAGAAGGAATCAAAAATAAAAGATTTTGGCCAAAGTACTTCTCAGTCAGAATTTAAAATGAAAGCTTGAAAGGCGAGTTTAAGCATAAATCAACAATGCACTTAAAAGGAGAAAGGAGAAAAGAAGAATATATCAAAATTTTAATATTTTTTAATTCCTATCCTAAACTTGAACAAAAGTCCACACTTATTTTTCAAATTCCCACTGAATTGCAACGTTCTTTGTTGATTTTTTATGAGAAATAGATCCATCAAATGGCGAATCCTCATCAAGCATATTGGGTTGACAAAGTTGTTAACAACGAGACTTTTTCTTGTTGCTGAAGTTTATTTGTTTTTTGTTTTCGTTTTTGGCTGGTAAATTTCACATTTGTGTACGCGACTCCGAGCAACAGAATACAATTTCAGCATTTTCCAGCCACGACCAGCCAGCTCCACTTTCACAATGAATCATCGGGCTAAAAACAACAGCCAGCAGAGGGAACTTTTTCTGCAGACCAACTGCAAAGGATGGTATAGAAGGTTTAGGGGGTGTGGCAATAGGGGTGTCGGCTTGATAGGGGGAGGGAAGGCGGGCGCGTGTTCGTCAGTTTAACCAGCATGACATGGCCCGGTCCATTGCGGTCCTGGTCTCTGGCATTTTAGCACTTATTCATAAAGTCCTTGCCAGCAACGGAAGACAAAAGGCAAAAAATGGTAGGAAAAAAAGTGCCAGAGAGAAGAGGAATTACTAAAAATTTATCAATGTAAAAGTTGGCTGGGTGTTTGCGGCGGGCGGGGATGTGGGTGGTTAGAAAGCAGGAAACAAGCAACAATGTAAATTATATGCCAGTTGGTTTTGCCACCTTACAGGGGGGTGGGAGCTTAAAAGGGGGTGCACCACAGCTTTCCCTTTATCCGGGAATGGGAGCAGATCCATGTAGGAATGATAATCTATGTATCTCTACCCGTACATATGCTTAGAAGGAAGCACCAGAGTCCTTGGAAAACAGAGCAGCATGCATTCGAGTGCAGCAGTGCATCCACATGTGGCAAGCCAAGTTGCAAAACTCAATGTTGCACATAACTGTAAATTGTTTAATGTTTTGCAGGGTTGGTAAGGGGCAGAACTTGAAGTAATTTGAATGTCACTTTGGAAAAAATTATTTTGGGTGATTTTTCAGGATTTTGTTTTACCAATTTTGTTTATATTTTTATTAAATTTTTAGCTTTTTATTAAAGGCTTTAAAATTTGTCGTTATGTATCGATGTATCTCTTCTTGTATTAACTTAGAGCTAAATAAAAACGATAATTAGTTTTAATCTTCCAAAATTAAATATTTATATAACTTTAACTTATTTTAATTATTATTCATAAAGAATTTATTTTAGTTTTAATATCTTGAAAAACTTTAATTCATCTTCTAAAGTTGCAACCAGAAATAAATATTAAAAGCTATAAAAAGAAGGCTTTTTGCTGATGAAAAATGTCTCCCAAAACCCAGAAAATATATTCAAATCTCGCTAACAGTAGTTCAGCGTACAGCCTTTTCCGCCCAGATGGGCCCACAACTCCCACCTTTCCCCCCGAGAAACCACCCACATTCAATGAACTGTCCAAAGCAGGAGAAGAGCACAAAAAATGGCCAACAAAGCGGTGGTGGAAAGGGGTGAAGGTGGAGAAACTGGGGCTTCTGTGGCAGCGAGTGCAAAAAGGCGCTCAAATGGGGTTGTCAGTATTTAACCCACCGGGGTTGGAGGTGCCGGCTGACTGCGCGAACTCCGCAGAAGTCCATGTAACCAGGAGGCTGGTGGGTGGTGGGTCAAAGTGGGTAAGGGTTTTGGGGGTTAGGCAGCAACATACGAGAGTGCGAGGCGTACTAACAAGAGGTGCCGAGGAGCCAGGATTAGGTTCAAAGAAGAAGAGCCATCAGGATGTACGGGGGATCGGGAGATCATCGCCCATCGAGACCCCACACATAAGTCACATGGCCAGAAAGAGAGACGCCGCCAATTGAATTAGACCCTAAACGGGGCTGCCAGAGAGAGACATCTAGCGGTGTTAATAAAAAGCCAGCCAAAAACGCTTTTTGTTCCTTTTTAGCCGCTTTTATGGGGCACACAAAAAAATACAAACGAAAAGTAAACGAGCGAAATTCCGATACAGTTAATGATAAGGCATATGGAGCTGAAGCGAGATGGAGCTACGTGAGAGTGAGATTGCTATATGGTGGTGAAAGAGGCGTGGTCTCCCGCAAAGAGCTACAAAAACTCAACGAAACTCGGCGACTGAGTGAAATCGAGTCCTATTGGAGGTGGCTCTCTCACTCTGATTCGAGTGCAAAGTTGGGGTGGCATATCGTTCATCATCCAATTGTACGTTTGCACTTCGCTCTGGCCTTCCCATGGCCTTCCCCTTCCCACCTCCTTGAAAAGCCATCCCGACATCACGACACTAGAGGGCGCCAGACTCCATGGCCCGTTACGCCCTATCTACCACCCCCAATTTCAGAGGCGGGGGAGTGCAAAGTGCGGTGGCCACAATTTGGCCCTTTGGACTGGCCTGCAACTCTTGGCTTTGCAGCCAGCGACACTTTTCCAATATTTCCCATTTTCGCATTTTCACATTTCCCCATTTCCCAAGCCATCCCAGTTGAAAAATGAAGTGGCAACAGTGTTGCATGGCATCCAGCGATTCGCTTTAAAGTTTTCACTCTCCCTATAGTTAGTTGCGTGCAAATAGGCGGTCGTTAAATGCTAATCCCGAATGAAACCAAGGAATAACTGTCGGCAAATGGACATATCAGGTTGCGCGAGGTGTCCTCGTTAAGAATGAATTCAATTATCGTTATGATTTCATGTTTTGGCACCTCCCCCTCCCCAATTTCCATAGTTTCCCCAGCTCAACAAACATTTCCTTCAGACACGTAAACAAAGTAAAAGTCGTGCCTGATCCAATTAGCCCAGGGAAATTATTATAATTATATTACGACAGTCACTGGGCTTCACTGGTAAACTTTTATTTAGGGGCAGTCTGAGTATATTGAGCGTTAATAATACGAAGGGTCTCTAGTAATGCCATGGGTCAGTATGGAAACCTATATAAAAACGTATCTTTAAGATAGTTAAAGCAATGCAAATTAATTGGGTATTCCGTAGAACATGTGCTTTTAATACTCTTGAAAGTCATTAAAACCAAAGTAAATCTAATTTAACGATATCAAATTAATTAAATCTTATCATAACAAGTTTATTGGCCATTTATTGGTTTCTGATTTCTGTGGCGCAATAAAAAGTAGCCATCAAAGTTATTTTAGTTACTCTTGAATAACAATCTTATGAAAATTAATAAAGTAGCCACTATTAGTTTTAGAAATCTCAAAAGTAAGGAGTTGATTTTTTATATATTTGAACTTTATAGTTAATATAAGAATATATTACCTTACTTATTATAGGCTAACCCCACATATATTTACCGAGGAATAAACTTAGGTATCTGATCAATTAGCTATTAAAGTTAACCCAGACATACTTTACAAGTTCTAGAATTTTCTGGAAATTCCCAAAATAAAATATTTCAGATACTACTTTTAGGATCGAAATATCAACCTACTGGTATACCTTTATCCTACATCATCCTGCCATCCATCATCGCTCCATCTTCATAAACTGCCAGCTTATCTCCTTTTCCTCTTGGCTAGCAACCAATAGAAAATGAGCTTTAAAGCAAACATTTAACCGCCAAGAGGCATTATGGCCGCCAAAACTCTTCCACCAGATAAGAAATCGGACTTTAAGCCCCACCAAATTTTGTCAGTTTCAGAATATCAAAGTAGAACGCACTTTAAGGCAGTTGGCCAACCAGAGAAGAACCATTCGCATGGCTAGCAAAAAAGATAAACAGCGGCAAAAAACTTATTTCGGGGTGGAGACTCATTTTAAACAAATTGGTAAAAAGTTGCTGGCACCTCCGACGATAAAGAACCCTAACGGTAAAAGTATCTAACAGATGCGCCCAACAGCGAGCTAATAAGAGCAAACGGGTTCTAGTTGGACGACTGAGTGGGCTTCGTTGAGTGCAAAAACGCTCAGAGAGAGAGAGAGAGAGAGAGGGACTTTCTCGTGGTGGTAGTGGTGGTGGTGGTGATACCAGCAGTGGTGGTGGGTGGTGGCAAACCAGCCAAACGCGTCGAAGGTCTTGCCCCATCAACAAGAGCGAGCGAGAGCGTCGATTTCACTCAACTGCTGGTAGTATATACGAAGAGCCATAGGAGTAAAGCGATCAGCAGTACTGCCCGCTTTTGAGTCGAGTATGAGGAGCGGTGAGAGATTTGTGTGATGTGTCGTTAGGTCGAAACGGTCGAGTCGAGTCGGGTCGGGTCGTGTACCTTTTGCCACGAATGTTGTGCCAGTCAGGCTCTAAAAGGCCTTACGAGAACAGCTGAGATTTCGCTGCTCCGCATGACGCAAAGATACTGAAATTCAAAAATTTTCAAGTCTTTAAGATATTATATCTCTCGTGTGTGTGCGCCGAGCGGGAAATTAATAAGCAAAGATAAAAATATAAATAAACCAAGTGTTTTGTTAGTGAAGTTTGTTGAAATGCTAATGGCATTTGCATCATAAAAATTAAATTAAATAATTCATTTTATTTAATTAAAAAAAAGAAATTCTTAACGAAAACGCGGCTGACAAATATTTTTGCCAAGGATAAAAGGATACCAAATAGAGCCCAGGACTCTATCGAAACCAAAAGTGTGAACCGTACCAAGTGCGTACAAAGTGTATTCCAGCAATTATCCCACGTGTTCCGACCCGGCCGCCAAAATTATTACGCACAATTCGCTGAGCGTGTACGGCGGCGGCGTCATGTGCGCCTCCCCGTCCACGGCTCCCGGCTTCTTCAATCCGCGCCCGCAATCCGGCGCGGAGCTGTCGGCCTTCGACCTCGGTCTGTCCCGCTCGATGGGCCTGGGGGTACCGCCGCACAGCGCCTGGCACGAACCGCCGGCCTCCTTGGGCGGTCACCTGCACGCCGCATCAGCCGGACCCGGTACCACCACCGGCAGTGTGGCGACTGGCGGCGGCGGTACTACGCCAAGTAGCGTGGCCAGCCAACAGTCGGCGGTGATCAAACAGGATCTATCCTGCTCCAGCCTCAATCAGGCGGGATCTGGCCATCATTCCGGCATCAAGGAGGATCTGTCCAGCCTGCCCAGTGCCAATGGTGGTTCCGCCGGTGGTCATCATTCTGGTTCCGGATCGGGTTCCGGTTCGGGAGTCAATCCCGGACACGGCTCCGACATGCTGCCCTTGATCAAGGGCCATGGCCAGGACATGTTGACCAGCATCAAGGGACAGCCCACGGGTTGCGGCAGCACCACTCCGAGCTCACAGGCCAACAGTTCCCACTCGCAGAGCAGCAACAGTGGATCCCAGATCGACAGCAAGCAGAACATCGAGTGCGTCGTCTGCGGCGACAAGAGTTCCGGCAAGCACTACGGACAGTTTACCTGCGAAGGTGAGTACACTGAGAAAAATCTGTAATATTTGGGGAAACATAAGTTGGCTAAGAAAATATCACTTCAATGTTTGGATATATAAATGGCAAATGTCATGGCTTAGATTCGGTATCATCTCGAGTGCCATCATATCATAACAAATTTTAGTGCTGAGTAGCGATCTTACCTCCAAGGTGCAATTGGGGGTCAATTGATTTCGTACTCGGGCTCGAACCGGGGATGACCAAACAGAAATGGCCAACGTAATAGAAAGCGAGCACAAAAGCGTGCCTGCCAGCCGCTGATTTTTGACAGTTTCGGTGAATTATGACAGTTTGATGAGTTGGCAATAAAACTCGGGCCAGGTGTGGGTGTGTGTATGCCAATAATGGCTATGGGAATTCTTTCCAGGGCCATGCAAATCTTGGCGGGATGCACCTGGAATGTATATCTGGGCAAAGGCTGATAAACCCATCTCCCAAGCGCTAGCTATTAAGTTGATCGGGCACCAAATCATGTAAAGATGTTTTTACGACCAAAAAATACATTTATGATCGAAAAGATAGTTTTGTTGTTCGGCCCCAGAGTGGGTGAGAGAGATTTATGTTTGGGCAATAGCTTACTGTCGCCTTTTGTTGATATATTTTTGTGTAAAATTAAAGTTTAGAGCTGCACTTGGCCATCAAAGTGGTTATAAAATATATTAAAAGCCGATTCCATGTACTGGAAGTTGCTTTCCCACAAATACTTTTGTGCATCTCTGGTCAGCATTCAGCATTCCGTTACAATGGAAGTTCCAGCACGAGAGCTCTTGGAATATATCTTGGAATAGCAATCCGGGCACGCACTCCCGCCACTGCCTCTCGGCCTTATCGTCAGATAAAAATTATTATCTAAATAAAATACGGGCCGTGCTTTGTCCTAAGCCAAACAATTGTTGTGCAAACATGCAAATTGTGCGGCGGCCGCTAAATGAAGCGCCCACCTTCTTATTGTCTCTCTCGCTCGAGTTTGAAAAACAGTGAGGAGGGGGGAACCTCACCTGAAGTTCCGGAAAGGGGAAGGGGCAGGGGCAGGGGCAGGGAAAAGGCGGTACAGATGGGTAACTGCATTCAGAGATAGAGGGAGATAGGCTCTGGCATTTAGTGCAGCTTGAAGTTGAACTTGTCATACTCGTATCTCTTCAAATGTTCTGGCACTGGAGCAGCACAGCCACAGCCACAGTCAAGAAGTGACTATGACTATGACTGGGCAGGCACAGTGGGCATATAGAGAGATGCTACCATGAGATTCCCAGATACTTGGCACACCGATGGCTCCCACTGTTCGGTCGCGGGCGCTGCTATTATTATTAATCACCGAGCATTTTGTACGCATGCGCAACCCACAACAGCAACAATCAGAAGATATGCGGCTCTGTGACCGCCTCGTTGCATTCTGAAGGTGTTTCCCCGATTCCCTCTATATATGGTGTGGCATGGTATAGTATGTAGTGCATGGGTACGAGTATCTCACTCGGTTGCCTGTTGGCCTGATGATGTTGCCACGATAGCAATCTATTTTGTTCTATGCAATCGCCAGACGAAGCTGGAGCTTCGGCTTCACTCAAATGCTGGCGAAATAAAACGTACGAAAAATCATAATAAACCGCATTGAGCCCATATCATTGCCGGCGTTTTCAGGCTTTTTTTTCTCTTTCTTCTTTTTTATTTCGCTGAACCCCAGCTAAGGCAGAATGTGCCCCGGTCGCGTCCTTTCAGCTGATTCACTTCGAGGTGCAGATACTTTTTGTGGCTCTTAGAAAAGAAAGATACTCCACTCCACCGTGCGGCAACTCGTTTTGGTTTTGGTTTCGGCTGTCTGATCTCTAAGCTCGTCTGTATGTGTGTCTGTGCTCACTTGTTTGTCTGTCTCGAGGTCCCTTCTGTCCTTCAGGCTGTCTTTGTGTCCATATGTCTATCTGTATGTCCAGTTTCCAGGTTTCAGGGCACACGGCTAGCTGGGTTTCGGGTATGTGAATTTATGCCAAGACACCCCGCCAGTCGCCGTACTCGTAGCTGCAAGATTAATTGTAGCTTATGCGTGTTGTCCGTTCCCCGTTCCTCTTTCTTCTTTCCTCTTTCCTCTTTCCTGTTCCTGCCGAAGGAGGATCTTCCTCCTGCCTGCATGTCCTCCCATTGTGGTGGCAACTTGTTTGATTTCGCGCCCAGCTGTTGGTGAAATTGGCAGAAGGAGGAGGTGGAGGACGACTCTTGCACTCATCAGCAGCAGCAGCGGCAGCAGCAACTCCGTTTGGTAACCGTAACCTTTAGCCGACTCGAAAAGTCACGGTTTAGTGGCGGCTGAAAAATGTGCGCTGATAAAAGTGCCTCGATAATATTAATGATGAGTACATGGCTCTAATGTGGCAAGACCCCTACGAAATGTTCTCCGTCTCCCCTGCCCCCCCCATGAATCGCCTATTAATTTGGCTATTTGTCATGGCTATTAGTGGCCCGAAAAGCTAAGATTTCTGGTATCTAGTTAGTTGCGCTGCTGCTGCATCATCAATCAGTGGTGTTGCGTCCAAAAGCTTGCACAAAATATTATTGCGACTAACAACTGCAACTGCATTTTCCAAGAAACCAATTGAATTTCCAATTTTGACAAGAAAACTATCTCAGCACCCATGTCAAAAGTGAATTAGCATAACTTAGCAGCGCACCGCACATGACAATGACAAATAAATTTTAAGAAAATTTACCGCCACTACTAAGTACCTGGCATGCAATTAATTAAAACAAACATCAACTAAGCAGAGCAGGGAATTAAGTTGAGAGCACGCCAGGAGAGAACCATAAAGAGTTGTAAAAAATTGCCATCCCAACTAATTGTTAAGCGCCAGCCTAGCCCATTAGCTGCCACAAATAATGTGTGTGAAGTTGAAGTGCAGCCGCAGATTGTCAACTCTGGGCCGAGCATAAATAATCCCGACCAGGCTTGTTCCATTTGCCATGTTACATACATTTTCCGCGAACGAGCAGCTTACATCAAACTCATTTAAATAGATTCCCACGTTCGGCAATTAAGTCAGAGTAAGAACTCAGAACCCCGAAAATCCCAAGCTCCAGGCTCCCGCTTCCCAATCCCAGGGATGTCCGAAATATTTTTTGATGTCACAAAATGCTTGGGTCAGTTGTATCTTTGTATCTTTCTGTAGAGGAGGGAGAATCTGGTTTCCTCTGTCTTCTTCCTTTGTGCAGAATTGTATTCAACATGTGTGGCTTTTTAATTAACTTCATTATGATGTGGGCAAAAAAAAAGTTGAAGGAAAAGATTAAAAATTCTGAAGGGGAAAATCTATCTAAAAAAAATCCAAAAATATACTCACTTTTTATGGTTTAATAACCAATAATATCTAGCTTTATTTCGCATTAATTTTCTTTGTGAAAAGCCATTTTCCCGCTTTATATTATAGGTATTTATAAGAGATATATTTTTGGTTTTCACTTTGCACCTCTTGACAATCTGTTAAATGGCGCTCTTTGAAAATTCGTGTTTCGCTGTGGAAATTCATTCCACTTTGAGCATTTAACAAAAGCCAAACATAAATCAATTTGCTGTCTGTGATACGACCAGAGCCCCTCCGTCAGCCCCTCACAGAGCAAAGTAAAAGCAACAAAGTAAATACGAATGCAGAAAATTAACAACGCCCACCGAACATTGCAATTTATGACGTTGCAGTTTTTGGGCATATTTTTGGTTGGTGAGGGGCGGTTAGCGGGGCAGTGGGCGTGGTCATAACGCCCGCAGCAGTGGATTTCTTATTTATTAATTAGCAAGAGGGAAAATAAATTCGAGGCTTGTATTAAAATTTGCATTTAACGTTGACTTTACCACGAAGACCGAAGTCAATTTCTCGGCCATAACATATATCAAATAAATCGCCTTTTGATAAACATTTATAACTTCCGTGCGATTTGTGCAGTCTGTGGTCTGGTGATTTACAACTCGGTAGCTCTTTCTCCCCCTTGAGAGAGTGTGTGGGGAATAACTTATGGCCTCGATATTTATTTTGACAAATTTTTATGTTTTCCACTGGCAAATATTCGCCCGCCTGTTATTTATCGGGTTAACGAGGATGCTGTCACAATAATCATACTTATAGGCTAACATTGCCCAACGCTGTGTCAACATTAATGAGCCCAGAGCTGAACCCTTCATTAAAGGCAAAGGCAAAAGGAAAATCACCAAAATAAAAAACAAAAGTTAATTGTACAGATATTGCCGAGACAGGGAAGAAACAAACAGACAGACAAACAAACAAGCCAACTGCAAACTGCATTCGGGCAGACATTGTAATCATTAAAACCTGGCTTGTACTACAAATCGTTGTACTTAGAAGAAATGTTCGAGCCAATAAAGCTGCTAGCTAGCCCTGTCTGACAGACCAGTCTCCCCTGAAAACCGAAAACCGAAAACCAAAAACCAAAAACCATTACCAATACCAATCTGAAGTCTCTTAAAATGAGGCGCAAAAAATTCATCCTGACACGATGCGATTTCGAAAAAGGCCCCCGAAATGAAAGAGAGTCTCTGGGTTAAGGAAATCGTGAACTACCGACTTGATCCGCTTTATAATGTAACGGTTTAATTAATTATGTTAAGCTCGAGCTTCCACCGACTTTTGGTGCTCTGGGCCACAGAGAGTTGGGCTCTTTTGGTTGCATTTTGTGTTGCCACTTCATGCGCAATTTTCGTTTTCAACTAAGTTCGGCTAATCGATCAGGCCCAGCGAAATGCTGCCTTCCTCGGCACGTTTTCTGTGCATCTTCGAGGGCCAGCAAACAAGTTGCAACTTCAGACTAAGAACTCCGGTCTAGTGTCTTAGCCATAACCCCGCTTATAGCGGCCATGTGTCGCTGGCCAGGCCCAAGAAACTGGAAAGAGTACTTCCAAAGTACATGACCAGGGCATTTGCACGGCTTTAAGAACCCGAGTTAGCCGCATAACTTCGCATAGCATCAGTTAAATCAAAGCCAAATCGCTTATCTAAGGCGGCATTTTTCTTTTCTACATTTTTCCACCTCCCCCAAGGCAACGTGACATATGCAAGATGTAAATGAAAAGCCAGTTAAGACTGCTCCAAAAAGCATAAAAACAATTGCGAAAGTTGGTACTACTTGGGTAGCTTCCCAGATTGGCATTTGATTTACAGTTGACCCATATTGGGCTAAGGCTATAAAGTCTGGCTGTGTCGGTGGGATATCGGCATCGGCAGGGAGCACCTGTTCCGTTCTAGGTTTTCATTTTTGTCTTAGCCAGAGGCACCGTTCATAATCAGTGCATTTTGTAGATACTCCAAGTGCATGAGCCGAGTCACTAGTAGTTACCACTACCAGCTAGTTCCTTTCGTGTCTGTCGGCGGGGGCTGTAATTATGTTTTGGTTGTACTCCAGATATTTTGTCTGGACTCGCTGTCTTGGTGCTGCCGAGTGTGCTAATTACTTTGACTAGCTGGCTGCTCCGTGTAAGCTTAACATTTAATTATTGCACCTTAATGATGGCCCACCTCCCAGCTCCCTTCCTCCTTCTGCCCCTGCTGCCCTCTGTGTGCATTAGTAATTAGAAAATGAGCCAAAGTCAAGGCGACTTTGACTTTGCATCACTCCGTTCTTCGGTCGCCCGGTCGCCCGTTCCGCTTCCTCTGGGCCAAGCGATCATTGACCGCGTTGGCTGCAAAAATGGAAAATGGGAAATGGGAAAAGTGGAGTCCACAATTGATTGGGCCATCTGCCACCCGAGTGCATGTGCCAAAAGATACAGATACTCTAGCGGGGCAGAGATTGCTGGAGATGGCCACCAGAGCCAACTAATTTAACGCTTTAAATTGCGCAGCCAAGCGGCAATGGGATCTCGTGCGGTTTAGATAGATAGTTGGCTCTTCTGCTATTTTTTTTAACTTTTTTTGTTTTGTTTTTGTAAGTTTCAGGAAGTTCAATTAATAAAACGCTTAGCTTAACTTAGCTTAGTTCTCGGAACCTCTTCTAACTGTATTGAACGCTTTATGGCGCGTAGCACACGCGAACTACATACTTGCCACCGCCCTCGGTTTCATCAGCTTCCTCAGCCACCCGCTGGCAATTAGGTGAAGCGGTAATTGAAACTACCGCAAACTCTCGACTCTCTTTGGCTAAGCCAAAAAGCTAAACGTTTAAGTCGAAGCCATAGTAGTTAAGTAAGGAAGGATTCTAGGGCTTCACAGCCATGCACTTCCCACACTCGTATCTCAGCGCTAGAGCGATCCACCCTTTTTCGGTTATTGATATAACACGATATCCACTCCACCCCGTCTCCGATTTTGTTTACGGTATCTGGCCCATGTACTCGTACCCGCAATCGTATCTTCATCAATAACGACGCGCATCTTTCGCATCGCAAAGTCCGCTGGGGATCGTCCCCGTTCCTCCCAAAAACGTTAAGATACCCAGATGGAGATACTCGGGATCGGAATCGGGATCGGGGACTGGAGTGTTGGGGGATTTGGGATGGAGCTGCAGCTCTAGATAGAGTTGCGATAGGCGCATATGGGCAGTTTGCCTCTGTTGCAAGTTCTTTTATTTACCTCTGCCTTTCTGGCTGGCTCTCTGTCCGTCGGTCTCACTGTCTATCTCGCTGGCTGGCTTTCTGGCCAAGATGTCCATTCGTCCATCCCTCTCTAACAAACTGCTGGAGTTCGGTGGTGGCTAGCAGGAGAGCAGGGGGCCCAAAAGGCAACGGTACGTTTTGGCAGAAATCGTGACTTGGTACAATATCGTTATTCGTAGATCATATGGTGTAAAAGCTGGCAGTGTGTGAGTGGGTATTTCTAGATGTGTTCGTAGTTGTCTCTCGGGTTGGTCTTCCATAGCAAAGGCCAAAAACTGAGGAATACTGAATGCCCTTTGGTTAGGGAAATGAATCTAGTCCTTAGGACTAAAATATCATTTGATCTAAGATCAATATTGACTTGTGTTAGAGGTTCAGTGAAGATCAGCTTCAAAAGTGATCCTCATTCGATCTTCAACTGAATCGAAAAGCCTTCATAACTTCTTCCTAGTGCATTAAGCCATCGACTTTCAATCAATTTCAATTTTCCGACCACGTTTTGTTTCCATTTCGGTGGGAGGCTGAAGCCACACGATCGCATTGGCAAAAGGCATTGAAAGATCTTTTATAGCCTGCGATCGCATGCTATATAGTCGGGGGTGGAGGAGTGGATAGGATCGAGTCTGCATAAACGCTCAGCGCTTACATATTTTGTTTGATGATGATTTTACAGCTTAAAACGAATTTTATGAGCATATGCCATTGTTTTGAGTTATTGTGAGAAATCTTTTTGGTCTGTGGAAAAAATAAGAAAACCCAGGTCCAGACAATGCATCCTACATATATCTTTGTACATACATATATATATCCCCTTACCATATAGGCTCTTTATGCAGAAAAAGCTGATGCAGAGCCAAGTGATACACATGTTTAGATACGCGTCGGCGACATTAACTTGCCGTGTCGCTGGCTTGTCCTACAACAACACCCAACTGTGGCCCAAAGCACTTAGCCCAAGTTGAAGTTAAAGCTAAAGTTGTGGCCAAAACCGATGCCCAACGAGCCATGCCTGATCTGGTCGTCTAGCTTAACAGTAAATTCGTGGCATTCGAGCCGAACTTGAACTTGCTGCCAGTTTTCTTTTTCTTTTAGTTTTTTGGTAGGGATGCCATGGCAGTATGTAGTATCGCCGTGGCCAAGATACACTTTGTTAATTGAAAGCCATTAAAGGTAATTTTATGGGAGGCGTTAAGCCATGAAACGTGTAACATGACCATTGACATGGGCATCAGGAAGGGAACTTGGATGCGGTCTGGTGCCGCGGAGTTTGTCAAGGAACTTTGTCACTTTGCCTTACAAGTGGTAACCATTCTTGTGTCGGAGAGTCTTGGGGGTGCCAAGGAATTTGTCGAACTGGCAAACAGTGGGTCTTAGTCCTAGAATTTAACTTGAATTTAAATTTTTATTAATTTCCAATATTCTTTCTTTCAGGCTGCAAATCTTTCTTCAAGCGCTCAGTGCGTCGCAATCTGACATATTCATGCCGCGGCAGCAGAAACTGTCCCATAGATCAACATCATCGCAATCAATGTCAATATTGCCGATTGAAGAAGTGCCTCAAAATGGGCATGAGACGCGAAGGTAAGACTCATTCTCCTCTCAAATAGTTCAGTTTAGAAACAGAAAAACAAATGTGTTATTCAGAACAAAGAAATTCAGGCACTGCTGCTGTGCTGTGGGTCAATTAAAAGTCAAACCCAGAGGCAAACAGAATAAATTAAATCAACGGCAGAAGAACGGAAGTAGAGCATCTCGATGACTAAATGTCACATGCTAGGAATTTGAACAGCGGCGAACAATTGGGTTCGGTTCGGTGGCGGTTCAGTTGAGTTATTTGGGTGCCAGGAACTATGCCAGATCAGTGCGGATCAGGGCAAGTGTTGGCATCCAAACGAAACCAAATTTTCACATTTTCCAACAGTACGCACAAATTTAGTTAGTAGCTTAGAGAGACCCCAATAGATGAAAATTGCAGCCTATTGACCCCGAAGATCAAATGCAAACTTGTTCGCTGGCTTGTTCATAATTACAATGAAGCCCAGTCGAGTACACTTAACGAAAAATACAAAGCAATCTATCAGTTAATCAAATGCAGCCCAATGTGTAACTAATTTGTAAGCACGGCCAAGCCAAATATTTGGCATACTTGGGTGAGACTCGTTTTCCTGCAGCGACAAAGTAACTGAGAAATGATTGACTGATTGACTTGCTGGTCGTCTGAATGACTGATTGACTCATTGGCTGACTGACTGACTGACTGACTGACTGACTGACTGACTAACTGACCGACTGTCATATTGTCGGCACGCCAATGGCCAGTTACACTTGTCAGCATTAACAATTAACGTCTGTCAGGGAGTCGCAGATAGAAAAGATAGAGACTGACTGCAGTTAGCGGACGCTAAGCTGTTATTATTTGCACTAATATTGACAGGTTTTTCGCAAAATGCTAATAGCCAGCAGCAGTACAAAGCAAATGGCAACGGCAACGGCAACGGCTACAGATGTCTGTACTACACTGTACAGTGTACACACATCGATTTGGGTTAAGAACGAAAACGTTAATTTATGGCGACTACGGGCAATTAAAATGCAGCTATAGACACAGCAGCCTCCTCTCAATGCACTTGTAATTAAATGAATATAAACATTTATTTAGCCGCCGACGGATTGTGAAAAAAAGCGTTTCAAATTTACCTAAGTCAAGACTAGTTTTTGGCTAATGACACAGTCTGAACCCAAGTCCGATCTACCTGTTGGGCCCATTAAATCTGCTATTTCCTCACCCTGTACTTGCCCCAGAACTCGTAAAACGCAAAAGAGTTCAACACCTTTTGGTCACATTCTGGAGCTGGGTTGTTTTACATTTTTTTTCTTTAATTTTTGTAATTTATGTTGAGTTGAGTCACATTTCTTTAATGACAAGTTCTGCGTAAAACTAGTCTTTCGCTATCAAAGCTGAGAAATCGTGAGAAAATCTCAATTCTGCATAGGAAGTTTCCTTCAATTTTACCCTCTTTATGAGAGGGGCACAATACTTAGCTGCGAAGCGGGACAAAGGTTGTGCCTGGAACGACCCTGGGTCAAGAAATTGTACGGGTTTGGCGCACAAAAAGCCTCACAAAACCTGAAAAAACAACATCAAATCAGTGTTCCGGGTCGCTCTAATTAAATTGCAGTGTCAATTGGTCAAGGGAAATGGGGTGAGGCACAGGCACAGGCAGAGGTACAGGAACTGGTAGCCAAACTTTTTCCTGCACAAAAACTAGTTTCTTTTAAGGGTAGCAAAATTATGTAAAATTATTTCGGATTTATTATAAATTTTTAAAGGGATTTTTGGGAAGTCCAAAAGGAAACTGGTTGGTCATTCGAAAAAAAAATATCTGGTGAACTCTTGCTCGTGAACTTTGACCACCACTGGAATTCCACTGGTTGCAATCAACACCTGCATTCACTCATTTCGGGGCTTGGTCGAACGCATTTCTGGGCAGACAATATAGACAATAGCTGGAGTTACTACGAGCAACTTGGCTGGTTAGGAAAGTGGGTCAGCAAAAGGTTTCTTACACCTCCGTGGCCAGTTGGAAACTCCACACCTAGGCAAGCCAAACAGGCACACACATCACATCCTAGGCACACCTAGAGCTCAGTTGCAATCTAAACAACGCAATCGGAGCCTTGGGCCAGGCCAATTCGAATCCGCACTAAAACAAAGCAATGGCAAAAATGCACAAAAACACAATTATTGATCGAAGCTCATGGTGTTGCTGCAGCTGGAAGTGCTGGAACTGGAACTGGAATCAACGATCTCTACCTGGGTCCACCGAAAAACGTAACGTCTTTCTGATTTTCGGATTTTGTAGATTCAGAGGAAGGAAGCGAAAGAAAGCGTTTTTGGTCAGTCCGGACAATGGACATATCCTGAAATCCCTTTCTGTGTCCCAATGTGTCCGAAGGTGTTTGTTTATTGCCTTTGCCGTAGCAATTAAGCCCGGGGGTTGCACCACCAAGAACCAGTTGACCACTGTCCAGCCACGCCGGAGCAGGAGAAAGCGAGATAGGGACACTTATTTACACAATACATTTGCGTAATTGTGCTAGGTGGGGTGAGAGGGGAGGACACTCCGTTGGACCCTCAATATAAGATGCACTTGGTCTTGATCTATGACGAAGAAACCGGTTGACCGGTGCCGATGTCCAGCGCCTTATTTATGCGCCTGGGAAAATATTGCCTGACCGCAAGAACAGCGAAGAAGCTAAAAGCTGCTGGCCGCAAAACCCAAAAGGAGATTCTGCTGCCTAAGCCTGTGGTTTTTTCGATTCCAAGAGATCAGGCCCAGATTACAGCAGCCAAGAAAGCAACGCCAAGGGATTGGAATGGGTTGTTTTTGCATTTGCTTTCGAGATAATGCTGGCCCCGACTTGCCCTTTTAGCTGATTGCTTAATGAATGAATCTTCCGCCAGCACGTGCTCAAGTTTTAAGTTCCCGCTCACATGTCACTAGCTGCCAACACTCGAGAGCGTGTCCAAGTGGCCTCGTCTTAACTTTCAGCAGATATTAAGTATCCATATCCATAGTCATGTCCCTGTCCGAATCCACGTCAATGTCTCGGGGAAATGTCGTTTCCGGCCAGAGTTCAAAAGGCCTTTCACTTTCCATTTAGCTGCTCAGTTGTTAACCATTTACATTGTTAATTATAATGTTTATATATAGCCTCGCTGGTTGCAAAAATGTACACAAAAACCTGTCCATTATTTTCTTTCATTACTGTACTCGAAACATGCCGAAAATCTGCCATGACTCTCCCCACATCTGCTGCGCCTGTGATATCTGCAAGATGGGTGTGTGTATGTATCTGAAGGATGCGTTGAAAGTATTTAGTCGAAATTTGCATATCTAAGCAGTCGAGACAACAGTGGAAAAGGGGTTGAAAGCCTATGGGGTGGCTGAAAAGTATCTTATGACGATGTCTTGGCCCGCAACAAAGGGCGGGCAACAACGCAGCAGTCCTATGTGGAGATCGAGGTGGCCAGATATTCAGATATATCCGAGATAGCGAGCATTGTGAGTTGTGGCAGCTTTGCCAACAGAGCTGAATGCCCCGCATTGTGCCGAGTGTGATGTGGCGGTCAAAATAGGACCAACAAAAGGAAGAGATACCCTTCACCGGGGTACCTGAACATCCTTTCTAAGGAAGGTCCTTAATGCTAGTCTTAGATGAGTTTATATATCAATTTTAGGAATAGAAAGAGAAATATTATCTTTTTTAAACACCAATATTTAAGTTAGTAAAACCAACCAAGTGAACCAACCAAACTAATCCTGTTCTCCTTCTCTTCTCTTTCCAGCTGTCCAACGTGGACGCGTACCACCCACTCAGCCCGGTCTGGCCGGCATGCATGGGCAATACCAGATCGCCAACGGGGATCCCATGGGCATTGCCGGCTTCAACGGGCACTCGTACCTCAGTTCCTACATCTCGCTGCTGCTGCGGGCAGAGCCGTATCCCACATCCCGATATGGCCAGTGCATGCAGCCCAATAACATCATGGGCATCGACAATATCTGCGAACTGGCCGCCCGACTGCTCTTCTCGGCGGTTGAATGGGCCAAGAATATACCCTTCTTCCCTGAGCTGCAGGTGACCGACCAAGTGGCCCTGCTTCGACTCGTCTGGTCGGAGCTGTTCGTCCTGAACGCCAGCCAGTGCTCCATGCCGCTCCATGTGGCGCCTCTGTTGGCCGCCGCCGGACTGCATGCCTCCCCAATGGCCGCCGACCGTGTGGTGGCCTTCATGGACCACATCCGCATCTTCCAGGAGCAGGTGGAGAAGCTGAAGGCCCTGCATGTCGACTCCGCGGAGTACTCCTGCCTCAAGGCGATCGTGCTCTTCACCACCGGTAAGTTGCTGGACATTCTTTACAAGGATGTACCGGCGCTTCTCACCAAGGTTTCAGCACTGCTTGGCAAGGGTTCCACTGCGTCCCATGACGATATCCTGGCTGTGGTGCGTGAGCACCTGGACGAACTGAACCGTTTGGAGGCGGAGTCTAATGCTCAGCAGCAGGCTCCACTCCACCTGGCCGCCTTCATGAAGAGTGTTGCTGGCGTTGAGGCTGCAGTGCAGCAGGCGGAGCAGGCTCAGGTACCCACATCCTCAGCTGCCTCCGTCTCTGCTCCTCTCGTTCCCTCCGCTGGCAGTGCCTTCAGCAGCTGCCAGGCCAAATCCGCTGGTTCAGAGATGGACCTGCTGGCCAGTTTGTATGCCCAGGCTCAGGCCACGCCCCCTAGCAGCGGTGCAGGCGATACCTCTGGTCACAACAACAGTAGTGGGCTGGGCGCCTCGCTTCCTACTCAATCGCAAAGCGGTTCGTCCTCCCGCAACCTAACCGCCTCGCCGCTGAGTACTTCGCTGGCAACCGCTCCCGCTCCTGCTTCCGTTTCCGCTCCCGCTCCAGCTCCCCAGATCCCAACCTCCTCGGCGGCTCAACTCCATGTTCCCGCTCCCGTTCCAGTGTCCTCCGCCTCCTCCTCATCGCTGGGTGGTGGAGCATATCAGACGCCCTCGGCTGCGGCGGCGGCAGCAGCCATGTTCCACTATCAAACGCCACCGCGCGCCGCCTTCGGTTCGGCCTTCGATATGTTCCACCACAGCACACCCTTCGGAGTGGGAGTAGGTCATGCCCATGCCCTCGCTCATTCGAGCGGCAGCGGCAGTGCGTCCTTCGGCAGTCCTAGTTACAGGTACTCGCCCTATAGCCTGGCCGGTAGTAGATGGCAGTTGTAGGATCTCACAGAACTCGAATCCCCTGTACTGTAAATTGACTTGTATCTAAATCTTTAGTGTTAGGTAAACCTAGATCATCTGTAAATGTGTACTTAATTTAGTGCCTATTGCTAGTTCTTTACTTATTTATTGCCTTAAACTAAGTATAATTTATTCTAGCGGTAAATAGCTTAGACTCGTTTAGTGAACTTTGCCAAAAAACTTGATAAAACAAAGAATCGATGAGGGAGGAGAAGAGAAAGAATATTAAGAATATATATAAAGCTGTTGCTGTTAAACAAAAATGTAATCCTGGCTTGTGTTTTTACTCGTTATCGCTTACTAATGCTTTACACTGCTTGTTGACTAATTTTTAGTTTATTATTGATTTGTTTATTTATTTTTGGTTAACTAACCCAAACTAACCCTGCTTCTTAGTTAAGCTTTAACTATGAAGTTTACTTTGCATTTGCGAGTGAGATCCTACTAGCAGTTGTTGAAAACAATCTAAGGCTATAGAGATTATTTTGGATCTACTGTTGATCAAAAGAAAAATAAGTATAAAACTTTGTTAAAACTTTTTTAGTTTTGTGTATTTTATTGTGAGTTCTTAACCTTAACCTAAAACAATGATCAAGTTGTTTTTATTTCTTAGAGATAAAGACAACTTCAACATTGTTATTTCTAATCAAAAGTTAAAGTTTGTAAACTATGATGGAATGGAATTAATTTCTTTAATTTTTGAAGAAGTGATCTCCACTCCATCGTATTCTTAAATTAAAGGCTGCACTTTTTTAAACACTTCTTAAAATATTATTAGAAAACTAACTATTTGTTAAAGAGCCTCAATCTTTTTCCAAAAAAATAATTGAACTGAAGAAAACCTAATAATCATCTGCCTTAGATTCTTAAAATGATGAACTAATTCTGATTAAGAAACTAAGGCCCATCTCTAACCCAAGGTATTGGAATCTTTATTTCTATTTTCAGCTCGCTGGAAAGCTTTTAATTTTGTTGAATTTTTCTTAACATCATTTCAGCAAATTTAACAGTTTTCCGTTGCATAAAACATCCATTTATTTAACACTAATCTTTTCACATTTTTATTTCATTTTTTTTACAAAAGCTATTCACACAAAAAATAAACAAAATTTAATCTCATCCGCACGTGGCAACAAAACTCTGGACTTTGGGATTGCACACACTCACACTCACACACACACACACTTGCACATCTAAAACATGTATTACGCACACAAATAAATCACAACAGCTTATATGCGAATAATTTAAATATTTTTAAAGCCTTATACCTTATACATACTTATTTTTAGAGAATTAGGTTCCACGCGAAATAAATCACTGAAGTTTTGTATGCAAATAGAGTGAACTGAGATTTTCTTTGACTTTAGCCTAAGCTAAGTTTGCAATTAAGTGTAAGTTAGCTATCTTAAGTTAAGGGTATTAAAAGTTGAGATTTTGATTTAGTGCCCGCTCCTCTATCACCCCTTTTCTCGTGTCGTGTCAACCAGCTGTCCAAATCCACGTCGCAATTGTTTTTCCGCTGATCTGCACTGAGCTCGGCTTACAGATATCCCAAGTCCCCTCCTTCTCTCTGTGGCGACGTTTATTGACGTCGAGATACCACATTATGAACATTAATACAACACTCGTTTATGTCGCTTACTTACAAGCCCGACTCCAGTCGACTGGCCAATCGCCCAATGGACCAAGTCCAGGCCTTGGCCAAACTTGCAATGAAAATAATTTTACCATTTCCAAAATGCTGTGTGTGTCGCTTGGCCAAGCTACACTGGCAAACTACAATGGATTCCGCTTTTTCCTTTTAGTAACTTTCAACTTTTCATATATAAACCCTGCATTTTCCTAGTTTTCTTCAGTGTACACCAAGCTTAGCTAAACCCCACTCTTGAGGGGGCGTGTGTGGCGTGGAGTTCGTGGTCTCAGCCAGCGAGACTGAGACCCTGGACCGACTGGCAAGCTGCAATTGCATTTGAATTGGCTGCATGAGTCCATAAACTGCAGCCGATCAATCGCTGCGCGGTCCCCGATCCCCAATCCCCGATCCCCAAGCACACCGATCCACAAATACCCAAATACCCATGGTCTCCAGCCCGAAGATTGTGGGAGACGAGACACGATCGCGGTAGTAAAATACCGGGTATAGACTTACTAGATCTTCTGCAGCGCATTGACGACATGTCTGCTGCTCCTCTTGGCTGCCATTGCCCATGTTACCTGGCTGGGAGCACCTCACCTTGCCGCAGTGCATCTTCGGCCCCTCTGATTGCTGTCGTTTGTTGCAGTTGTTAAGAGTTGTAGCTTTCATGTCTTGGCCACACTTTTTGACCAACATTCTGTGTGTGTTTTTCGCTGGCTGGCTGAAAGGCTGGAAGCGGAGTCTCGGAGCAGCCAGCTCAAATCGTTTTGTGGCGCTCATTGATCGCCTGCGCTACTTTTCCCCTGAAAATTGGCAACGACGTGGCCCAGAGGCCTGGGACTCTGGCAATTAACAGTAACTTTTGGGCCGGGGCAGACGTCGTTGATTAGAATCATTAAGGGCGCGTTTCGATATTAGGTTTTGGTTTTAACCTTAGGATTGTCTGCCATCCTTTAAGAGAGAGGGCCAATGTTTGCCCAAGATTTAGATGCAGTCGATAGAGCGGAACCCCTACTCAGCCTTCTTAGTCGCCACAGTTGACCCCACACGACCCGATCCTTATTAAAACTAAATAAAGTTATAACTGTTTCTGGCGGTCGCGGCACGAACTGCTTGGCCAGAACTGGAGCCATAAAGAACACAAATCTAATAAAATATAATGCAGCAATTCATAATTTTGTTAAACAGTTTGGAGCCCCTACTCCTTGAATGCTCCTTATTCGATATGTCTGCTGGTTGGGCAACCAACTACTTTACGGTCATTATGCATTTAAAACACGCGGTCACGATCTCTACCTCGCTGAGTTAGTAACTGCGACGACCCAAAACCGACCGAATACTGAAAACCGAAAACCAAAAACCAAATACAAAAAACAAATCGAAGCCTGGCTCGTCGTAGGGTACATAACTACAAGTCGAAAACAGTTAACAAAAGCCAAAGCCAAAGCCCCTCGAGAAAGCTCCAATCTGGGTAGTGCATTTCTCCAGTGCTTCTCCAATATACCGCCTGCCTGCTCGACCTGTAAGTGGAATGTCTTTCACTTTGGGCATGCAACTCCTCCGCCGGTCGAGAAATCGCATCCCAGCTCCTCGTCATCTCTACTGCATTTCAATGAAACCAAAATTTTGTTTTACCCTGGCATGGCACAGTTTCCCACCTCCTCCATCTCCGGCGACGGCGACTGCTTCTCAGTTTTATGATTTCCCATTTTGGATCCCCGGAATCCTCGGCCTGAGCTAATGGAAAGTCAATTGACAATTATGACCATGGCCAATGAAGTGATTCGATGAGCTTGCCGGACTGACCATGTCTAATTTGTATCGCCAGAGCTTCACGATTATTACCCTTACCTCTTGTTCATTTTGTTTATGGCTCGTTGTTGGTTGTTGTTTATGAAACCGAATGGTTAATAATGGCTAATTGAATTCCTGTTGCCGCTGGCGACAAATCATTTAGCTTGATTTACGCGCTTTGTGTGGGGGTAGAGTCTAGGAAATTTATATGATAACTTCGACTTAGCGTTTAAGTTTATCTTTTGAGCCAAAGCCAATCATCGTACAGATCTTGACTGGACAACAAGCTGCGGTTTTGGCTTTCCACTGACACTCGTCTTTTATGGCCAGCTCAGATTCGGAGTTGCGTGCAACCAATCCGACCCAGAGAGCCATTAACGACATGCAGTCCAAGACCAAGACCCAAGACAGCTGGCCATGCAATCGGCAATCGGATATATGAGCTAAAATCATGATGATATCGGTGGGCAAATGGCAAATGGCCCAATCATTAGCTCAGCTTGCTCGCCTGCAAAATGATATATCAGCTGCAGGTATTTTCTTCATTTTTTTTTCACCCGTTGAAAATCCATTGCCTTGCGTAATAGAGTCCTCGTGTGTTCAGTGACTAATTAAGCAAACAAAATTTCATATGCAATTTCGAAACGCCATTCTTAACTGCAACACCAACAGCAAAAACAACAACAACAGCAACAGTCATTTAAAATGCTTTAAGCTATGCAAATTTACAAGTGCTGATGTCTAATTTGAATTTCAAACAGTCACACACAAAGCACAAAAATATATTTGAGTATTAAAAGAAGCTAAAAAAAAAAAACTATATATATTGCCGTTTTGTTGATGTTTTAACAGCGGCAATTGATAAGCAAACTTTTGGTGCCTGGCAATTAACACTCGACGGCACACGCTGCGTATGCGCAATCCGGCATTGCTGTAATTAAATACCATGGCTTGCTGGCGCTGACAAGATGGAAAACCCATTCGTATCGTATCGTTTTCCCGTGGCCAGGGCGTTGTCTTTAAGCTTAATTTTCCCGAATTTAATTAACCCAAGTGTTGTTCGCTCGTTCGGCTGCTGGTGTGTGTATTCTCAGTAGAGCGACTTCAATTGAACATAAATCAAGTGGACATGACGTAATCTCTTAGTTTCGTCATCGATCCACTGCTGTTTTGTTGTCTTGTGTTCAGCGCTCAACTCAACCTCAACTCAATTGAACTGGGCTGAGTTGTGGGCGTGGCAGCGGCTCATGTTCGGTTATTGGTTTGACGTGACAGGCACTCGAGAGTTGGAAACTTTTCTGCCGGCGCCAGGTGAACTGCCCCAAAAGAGTATCGACCATGTATTGAATTTGCATCCATAACTGTGAATCTGCAGGGAACTGATGGTTTTCCTTTTATTCTTTCTTGTCTTTTAGATGCCTGCGGCCTGTCCGATGTGACGCACATTGAATCCCTGCAAGAGAAGTCGCAGTGCGCCCTCGAGGAATACTGCCGGACGCAGTACCCTAACCAGCCCACGAGATTCGGCAAGCTGCTGCTCAGATTACCATCGCTGAGAACTGTCTCCTCACAAGTAAGTTTCCTTAAAGGGTTAACTATAAGGCGGAAGGGGAATTATTACATTAACTTTTACTATTTTTATAAATAAGCTTGCTAAATGTTGAATATTTCTCCCCCTAATCTAAATGTTTTCCATTTCTTCTTCTACTTTTTCTCTTGTTAGGTCATTGAGCAATTGTTTTTTGTGCGTCTAGTCGGAAAAACGCCAATTGAAACGCTGATACGCGACATGCTGCTGAGCGGCAACAGTTTCTCCTGGCCCTATCTGCCTTCGATGTGACACACGATGTGGCGCCAATTGACAACAACTTGATCATCGGCCGCAGCTGTGGCGGCTGCAACGCTCAACATCAATCCCGGCGGAGGCGGTGGCGGCGGTGTCGCTGGATGTGGCAGCCACAACGTTGTTACTGCCAGTCATGACCAGCTCGCCAATGTTGCTGTCATGCAGCCAACATACGGCAGCGCCAGCGCCGTCAGTAGCATCAACGGCGGTTGCCACAACGGTAACAACGGCAGCGGCGGCGGCAACATTTGCAATCAGCAGATCAACAACTACAGCAATAACAACGGCAGCGGTAGCAGCAACAGCAGCAGCAATCATATGAGTGCAGGCAGTTTCTTCGGCGGCAACAGCAACAACAGTAATAACAGCAACAACCATACCAGCAATAGCAACAGCAATACCGATTATATGGCCACGCCGACTACCGCTTATGCGACACCAGCGACAGCAGCAACATCTACAGTGAACACCACGACGATGCTGTCTAATTACTGCGATGCCGCGACCATGATGATGGCCGCTGCTGCAGTCAATGCAAATCAATGCCTGCAGCAACATCACCAGCGCATGTTGCTGGCGGGCAGCAGCAACAGCAATAGCAATGGCACAGCAGCAATACCCTCCTCGTCCTCGGCTGGCTCACTGTCGTCTGCCTCATCGACGCCAACAGCCACAGCCACAGCAACAGCAACTGCAAATGCAACAGCAACAGCCCCGCACCACCATCAACAGCAACAGCAACAATCGCCGCCAAATTTAATCGATATCAGCGAAGTTCCTCTCATTGTGGATGTCAAGTAGTGTAATTATTTATGGATCTAGAAATGGGGCTATAACAAACAACCTTGTAGATACCCCGCCCCTCCCCCCAAAAAAAACCTAAAAAATCAAAAAAAAAAATGTTTAAAAATGTAAAAAAAAGATGAAGAGCCGCGTAGCTTAATTGACTAATTTTCCATTTTGTAGCTTTCGTTGTAACTTTGTAAATATTTCCCGGAAAAATTCAAATTTTTCTCTAGGCCGCCCCAGCTGTGAGCAATAAATCTCAGCTGACATATCCCAGAGAACTTCAAAAGTTAAACCCAAAAAAATTAAGGCGACAAACTAACGTCTTAAAATATATATAAATGTGTAAAATATTAAAATGGCACTGAGTTCTACTTAATTTTTAAAACACAAAAAAGTTAAAGAAAAATCGAAAAGAAAGAACACGTGGAAAGAGAGACATCACCTTAACCCTTTCAAGAAAAGACAAAAACATAAAGATAGTTAAAATATTTATATATGTAATGTAGCATATACACGTATATACATATATAAATATATATATATATATAAACGAAACTCTACTCCCAGTGGCTTGCAGAAATATACCAAAAATTTTAAGCTATGTTTACTTGATGTGTGGCAATTTTTTATGTGTGCTTTAGCAATTTTATTTTACTTTAAGTAAAATTTAAAATTAAATTCGATTCCCAACTGGTTTTCCCCTCTATCTCTCGCGGTGGCATCTCAAAGATGCCTCCGAACGGAAGGCCACTAACGTTGGAATATGAATGCAAAATTTAGCGAATTTTTTATTTAGTAATCTTAACGAGTAAAAACACAAAATGTTCAGTGCAAGTTTCAGTTCTTAAACGATTTTTTCGTAAGCTTAAGCATTATCTTATTTATGTGTATAGAGTATGAAAAGTTTTCTATATTTTGTAATAATAAAAATTTGCGTTTATAATGAACTCCGTCTTGTGTTTGATTTTTCTTTTTTGGTATCCTTTTCCATAGGTAAGAAAACTTTTCCAAGCAACTGCAGCCAAAATGTACATAAGTAAAGTACTCACAAAAAACTTTCCTTTGTTGAGAAAATATTATTAACAAATATAATAAAACGTATGTAAATACAAATTAAGTCTAAATAAATATTGAAATAATTCGATTGCTTATTAAATGCATCACGTAAACGCGTGTAAATACAGATTTAAGAGTGATTCCAATGTTTTTAATAAAGTAAACCTACTGATAATAAATAATGAATGCAGTTGTAATTAAATCGCAAGTGTCGGCCAGAGTGTGAGTAATCGGGAGTGTTTGAATTTGTGTCCTTATCACTGAATATATATATATATATATATATAGACAGACATCAATATCAGCAGCTCACGAAATGTTTTTGCGTTCAATGAAATGAATTTAAGTATTTAAGTAGCCTACGAATGTTTGTTTTTGTTCTTTTTTAATTTCCATATTCAAATGGTGTATTTGTTAAATAAAAACTTATTTATAACATTCAAAAATGTTTCTAAATAATCTTTTAAGGGAATGGACTGATAATTATCACAAAAGCTTTTGGTAATTACAGAACACCTTTAACTTAGGCATTTCTACTACGATTTTCTTTTGAAATTCCGATCCGAAACCATTTACACACACCCCAAACTGATCTTTAACCCACAAACACTCATCTGATGACCGCTGAACTAGCGAAACTTTCATAACTTTCCGGGACAACTTCCTCAAAGCGAGCATATGTATATCTGGGCATTAAGCGGTACGTGATGCAACCAAATATCATGTGTTGCCCGAATAAATGCCCAAGTCATGCCGAAGCACCCACCTTGGTGCAACTCAAACCGCATTCGCTGAGGTTGCAATTACCCGAACTGCTCTGAAAATTGCCAATAATGAGACATGCAACTTGTGCGCTTAGCCTCTGTAATGGATTGCCGTGGATTGGTATCAATTGCGGGTCAATTCCTCCGGTGCTCGGGGGCTGGGGAATTTCACGCGCCGACAAGATAATCGCACGGGATTCCCTAGTTTGCCCCAGGGCAAAGCCCAAGCTCGGGCCCAAGCCCATCTCAAGGATCGTGAATTTTGCAGACAGCGTGTAGCCAAGTCAAGTCGAGTTAAAGCCAGGCCTTAACCAGAGAGATCCGGCCAATGGCCAAATTGCCGCTGCCAAATGACAAATTAGATATCGAAAATAACAATTTGATCGACAGCCGATTGCCACTGCTCCACTGCCGCCGAGCTCCAAAGTTGCGAGAGAGAAAAATTACCAAATCCAAATTGGCTCCAAGATCCGAAATAAGGAAGGCACTTTGCGGTTGGAGCGTAGCCAAAGGAGTTGATGAAGGTGTTGATTTGATTACTTTTATGTAAGCCCAGTCCCAGTACCAGTCCCAGTACCAGTTGGAGTTGAAGTTTCAGTTCCAGTCCCAGCCGTTGCTGAAGTCATCGCAATTGCCATCGAATATATTTCGCTCCCCCTCACGAATCGTGATCGGGGCAATTTCAGATGGATGGACTTGGATTTGGGCATCAATTGATGCCGCCAATACCGTACTAGGCTTCACTGTACGATCCTCCAGCATCTAAATGTGAAAAATGATTTGACTTTAATGGCCGCCACTGAGTGATCAGCCACACTGCGATCCGATCATCATCAACCGATCATCCCCAACCTTGGACGAGGTGTTAAGATTTTGTGACCAATTGGCCAAGAAGGTAACGGTTGCTTCCACTACTATTTCCTCCAGCTCCTCCGCCTCATCCGCATCCACACTCGCCACTTATTTGCTCTTGAGTGATGCTGATCGGTGTACTGAGTACTGAGTACTTGGCTCTAGGCACATGATTGATCCACTGCAGTTGCATTTGCATTCGCACTCGGCTTGTTTTTCTTAACTTGGACTTGGTCTTGGTCTTGGTCTTGGTCTGGGTCTGGTCTGGTCTGGTCTTGTCTCGCGGTGGTGGAACGTGGGAATTTGGCTTGAAGAATTGCAATTTTCCGCACAAGGAGGTGTGTCCGTGAACTATATTTCGTACCACAAATTGTTGTCTTTAGGATGCCGTAAATGAGCTATGCAAAATGATGTGGAAAATTATGAAAAATAGCTATTAAATTATTTGGTTAAACTTTTAGCAAATCTGAAAATAATTTAATACACCTATCTTAACGGCTTTAAAGTTGTCTTGTGCAATCTGTTAATTAAGCTTAAGTTACATAAAATCTACATGGGTAAACTTTGATCCAAGCAAAAAAAACATGGTAATCACCTAAACATAAAATCTGTTCAATACCTATTACTTTTTTTTATGAATTAATGAGCTATTATTTAAGGTATTAAGGTAAATCGTTACTAAATATTGGACATTAAAAATTGCGGATAAACCATAAATATGACACTTTTATATAGCATTTAGGGACTTCCATAGCTTGAAAAAAAATATTAAAAAATTACAAATTAAGTAAGATAGTTAAAGTTGATTTGGTAAATCAAGTAAAAAACATAAATTTAATAAGTCTTCCTCTTAGATAATTATTTTATCATGTTTTTAACTAATTTAACTTTTAATTTATAAAACAAACTTAAAATCTATATAGCTGACCGACCGGTCATACTTGGCTTTCCTCAGCCATTCACATCCAATACACGTTCCCTGAAAAGAAAGAATAATTATATAAGCCTCCAGTCCGTAGACTGCTTACATATACGTGTGGCCTGGCCCATAGTCCATGTCCATGGTCCTCGATCCGCTGAACATACAAAGCCGTCACAAAGACCCTAAGATATTAGCGGGCATTTTTCAATCCTTTGACGATGGTCAAAATAAAATATTATTTCGCGCGTTAATACGCAAAAATAAGCGGCCAGTTGGGTGGCACGAAATGCCAAGGCCCGGCGAAGCGGGTGGCACTCACCTCACCCCGCCAGTTCGAATCTGTGCATCTCGGGCCAACGGTGGAAGATTGCAACGAAGAAAAAAAAAAAACCGGACTTTGGGCCAGGAAGGTGTTGTTGGCTGAGAAATTATGATGGGAGACTGCGCCGAGTCTGGTCAATTGCAATGCGAATTTGTGACTCGTTACGAGTCGCGTGGCGGTCTTTGGGGTCAGGAAAGCGGGTTCAGAGGGGGAGTAGACTACGCCATGGGTGGTCCTTGGTCGCCTCTCGCGAGATGCAAAATACTTTTGACAATTTGTACTTGTTGGCCCGGCTGCCGTGTGTTATAAATTATCAAATAGAAATAGCTTTCGATTCTCCCTCGGCCATTATTTCTTCGTTTTTTCGCGAATGCCTGACAGTGAAGCTAAATTATTTGGCATGCGGTGTGAAATATGTGTAATTGGAAAACAAATTCCAATTGCCTAATTTATGACTTGTGCGAAATGGCCACAAATTTATTATCAACCTCAAGGAGCTGGGGGGGATCAAACAATGTCCTGAATGGATGGGGTTACGAATTCATTTGTTACCTTTACTAATTAAATTATGACAAAAGGAGACTGCGATGAGAGGGTTGCTGTTGTCCTCCCTGGGCCACATGTCCAAAAATGTCCGACGTATTCAATTTCATTTTATGTAAATGCTCGTAAATGTGACAAAAAGCCAGGGATCCGGCAGACACACTCACACACATTTCAGTGACAGATAGGCTGAAAGTTCCATTTCAAAACACGCAGTCAAATTGAAAGGAATCGAGGTTTGGGGTCTCGACTCGTTGTTCCTAATGAAATTGGACACCAACATTGCCGGGGCCACAGGAGATATGCCAGAGATATCCTGGAGATAGGGATACAGCCATCCGAAATTATGCAAATCACAGAGACTGCATATGCAAAATGTTTAACCCTTAATTGGCCCATAAGGCGCTCCGCCCCGACTGTCTCTCTCGCTCACCTATAACGGACATCGATAGCCATCGGCATGGCCATATATCCCAGTTAGTCAGTCGGACACGAGACAGTCGAGCTAACTTTTTCAATTACCCCAAAAAACCCGCTGCTCTGTGGTCTCTCTGTTTTGGATCTGAATCTGAATCCGAATCCAAATCTGAATCTGGATTCGATCCGCCTGCCCCTCGACTGCCCAAGCTAGCCTTGTTTTGGCGTTGGCGTGAATTATCTGCGCAAACAGCCAGTGACAGGCGTTGAATTGCCACAGTTGCCTCTATCTGTGTGGTGTGTCCAGTGGCACTTTGTCGCATAATATGTTAATCAGCCGCATGTCAGCCTTGCGGGTGGGTTTTCTTTTTGCCCAGCGATATGGGTGGCGTTTTGGTGTGGGAGTGTGCAGACCCTTACCTCTGGCTTAATTAGCAGTTCAGGGAAGGTGGGTTCAGCCGGCAAATCAGAATCCTCTGGACTTACTCAATGCTATTTACTTTTATATAACAGATAAATAACCTTTTGGTAACTTTTTTTCACAGTTTAGTTAACAATTTTATTCTGCTAAATCTCGACTCACCTTTAATATAACTTTTACAAAAAGGAACAATTTCACGAACTGTAAAGCCATATTTATGATCAATCTGTCGTCCCCATATACAGTTATTCTTGACCCGTTCTTGCCTGCTCCATTTAACACACAGACATACACACTGACAATGTTTTGGCAATAAATTGGCATTTAAATTAATTCACCTTGAATTATGTTCTTTGTGCGATAAAAGGGAAACACTCGGTCGGCCAGAAAAGGCTGCCCCCCCACAGCGTAATTTTCAATCAAAATCGCACATCCGCGAAATTATCATGAACTCAGCAGAGCAGTCTGGTCCATGACCATTCGAATACTGTGAATATATATCCCTGGATCTGGTGAGGAGATTATCAAATTGATTCCAATTAACACTTGCCACCGCTGCAGGGACTGCAGCATTCAATGGGCATTGGACATTGGGCCAACGGCCGCCGCCGGCGGTTGCATTCATTTCTTCCTCTCGTCTGTGTATGCAAACGTTATAAATATTTCACTCTTTGTCCAGGGTTTACGGTTAGCAGCCACAACACTTTGAGGCAAGGTCCCCTTGACTAAAGGGAGACCAACTTTATGGCCCATACCAAGTCCCATTCCGATTCCTTTCTCCTCCAGACGGAACACGCACATAACTTAAGCGCACTTTGTCGTAATTCGTAATTCGAATTGACAAACGTTTCTTGGCCCCAAGTCGCCTTATTCTCTCTGATTTTATACGGATATATATCTACCATATATACCTGGTGGCTAACTTTTGGCTCACTTCGGCTGGGCCTGGGTGAAATGATAAATATTCCATAATTTCGCCTGACATTCAATTTCGATTTGGGTGACACATAAATTACGAATTAACGCTTTAAGCCCAAAAAGAGGAAGTCTTAACACGGAAAGCTTAAAGGTACTGGAGTTTCCTTTGATCAATTTACTGTATTGGCACACTTCCTAGAGCTTAAGAAATCGGAAAATAAAAGCCTACAGGCATATGTATAAGTTTAAAAGTAAGAAAATGGGTTTAAAGTCCCAAAGTAATTCTTCATTAGGAAAAGCGACTGGCTCTTTATATAACAAGATTAATGGTTTGGTCTTAGCTGACATTTTAAGCATCATTCTAAGAATCTTAATTATCAACTACACCTGTAAATCAATCCACTAGAGCACTCTCATATCACCATGGCCACCTTCTTTCCACATTTTTCAAAGAAATGCACGCAGAAGTCTTTCTCTCACGTTCCGAGCCACCAAGTGACAAGCGGGGCCAGCTTAATTAAGTTGAAAATTTATGAAGTTTTTTATCAAGAGAAATTCATTAGCCACCATCTAAAACAAGTCGCGGGTAAACAAAGTATCAGCAAAGAAAAAACCTTAGAAAAGGATTTCCTTTGGAAAAGTAAAAAAAAGGAAAGTTCAAAAAGTTCAAAAGTGGAAAGGACCTGCTATGGGCCATAGGAAAAGCCAAAAAGATGTGCAGGGCACAAAAGATGATTAATAATCTCCAGGACAGACTCCGACTCCCAAACACTCCACCACTAACCGCGGAAAAGTCCTGGCCTGGAGTGGGAAAAGACAAATGTCTTGGCTGCGTGGTCTCTTTCACAGTTAATTTAAGTTTCCAGGCGAAACGGATGCAGGACCTGGCTGGAAAAAGAATTCTGCTGATTTTGTCAACTGTTTGTCGCTGATAAAATTATTAGCTCTCCTTTTGTTTCAGCCCCTGTGAGAGAACCGGAATTGGGGATGGGAGGAACTTTATTTTTTTCCACCAGCTTTAGCCCAAAATTTTTGTATTAAAATGCAAATTTTTTGTTAATTTTGTTGTTTTTTAGGTTTTAATCAGCGGGAAGCTACAGAGCCATATTTCCTCATCTTCGCCGCGGTTGCACTTCGTTGATGATGAATGTTGAACCCGGGCGTATGTCAGGAACCAGGAACCAGGAGCCAGGAATCAGGGGTCCCAAGCCCTGTGACTTCGCACCCCAGAGCTAAAATTGTTTTTTTTAAATGACTTTCTAATTTTCTTTCAGCTGCTTCATAATTTTAATTTCTCCCCCACTAATAGAGCTTGTAATGAGAATGATTTGTTTTGCAAAGTAAAAGTATATTATTAGAGAATTCCAGGGAAATTTTCAAATACCTTGCATTCATAAATATATTAAATAAATATTAAGGTTTATTCGCTGCTCTGTTTGTTTTGAGTGCAGGCCATTAGTTAAACTCTTAGTTAAGTGCTTGCGAGCCAAATTTGATGTTCTGTGCTCCAGTCTACGGTTTCTGCTGCTCTCCTATCTGGAAGTCATCTAAAGACACCGCATTCAGTTCACAGACGCAAGCGATAGACATAAACAATTAAACTCATTTGACGATTAATTACGCGCCGCTTCCAAATCGCGTGTGCTGCCACCAAAGCCTCCCCCCAGCCAGCGGCAAAATTGTTCTATCAAAACACAGCGGCCAGGGCAGGAAGGCCGTAGCGACAAGAACAACACCCACAGCCCAAGTACAAATTCATTTGCTGCTAAAGACACAAGAGGAACTTGCATGTCGTGTCATAATCTTGATGGATGCATAATTGCATGCCATGCTCCCAGGCCAAGCTCTCCTCTTCCTCATCCACCGATCTGATCTGCCGCATTGTAATGGCCATTATCGAAATGGGTTTAAATGTCAACCAGCATAAGAACGGTAGCCGAAATGTAACCCCGTTTTCTAAATATTTTCATGTTATTTAATAGACAAATGGAAAATGTATTGAAAGTTTTTCCCGTACACTCAGAAAAATAAGTAAAGTCATAAAAGTCAAAAGAAAATGCAAATAAAAGGTTTTAATTTAACCACAAAAATAGTTTATGAAATAAGAAAAGGTAAGAATCTTTTTGTAGGAATTATAAATTTATTAAACTGAAAGATTAAACAAGTTCTTAAACCCATTTTCTAAGTACATCTATGCATCATGCAACACATGAATTATGCGGCAATTAATTAATGAGGAATATCCAACCACCGAAAAGAGACCACCATCATCTTGACTCTACTCATTCATAGACATTGTGCATTTCAGGGCGAGAGCCAGATATTGGGTGACCTAAATTATTCAATTCATTTTTATTTATTTTTAATTTTTTGATTTGTTGCAATAATTCCCCAACCCCTTCTTCCCCTCTCGAAGCCAGAGAGCAAAGGGGTCTGCTTGTTTGTGTAACTATTTATTCTAATTTGACCCGCTTATTGAGTGGCCCGCCCTTCTGCACCCCACACAACCCCGTTGGCCATTAATTGATGCAGCCGCTTAAATGATGAATCACTTTTTCATTAAAATTTGACTTTCAGTATGACCCCCATGTGGCTGGCGTTGACTTTTATGTGGTTAATAGTTAATAGTTAGCTTTCCTATTGATAGATATCCCGCAATTGTCGCTTGTGGAAATCAACCCAAGTGTCTCTTTGTCTTTCCATGTTTCTTTGTTTGCCATTTGCAAGTACAATGAACCACAGCCAGAATCGGTAGCTTCTTCAAACATCAAACTCGTGCTGAACAAGCTTTATGGGTCAACACAGCATAAGACCGATAAAAAGAAAAAGTTCTGTGGTAAGGGTAAAAAGTGCAGAGAATCAGAAAGTGCTAACCGATAGCACACCTGCACCAAAGACAGAAACGTGAATGTGGGTGGCAATTTAAATCGTATTTAAGCTGGGGTGAAGGCCACCAAATGACAGTTCAACTTGTAGTTCTTTAATAACAACAAGCTTTTAGTGAGGTCTTAAAATGAGTCTTTCGACTGAAACTCTTCTGTTGATCTTCATGGCGGCTGCTTTTGCACTAGATCCTTCTGCTAGCCAGTTGGTAGGCGACGTGGACTTCCCGGACTTGGAGGATAATTCGGATTTCGATGAAGTGGCTTTAATTGGATTGCAAGGAATTACTAATGCCCCAATTATCACAGCAACTCCAAACTCAGTTGTTGGATCTTTAAATGTGTCTATAACAATTGATACAACAACAACTAGTGGTATCACCAAAGAATCCACCGAAGAATCTACAGTCGTAGTTACCACAACAAACTCTCCAACCACAGCTCGCTCTTCAACGTCTGATTCGACAACAAGCGATAGCACCAAATCTTCTTCAACAGCTGCTGACTCCACCACAGATAAATCTTCAACATTGGTTTCTACCACAGCTTCTTCAACCACATCCCAGGCTTCAAGCAAAACTGTTCCTACAACAACCGATTCTACAACTAAAGAATCGTCAACGACAGCTTCCACCACAAGTTCTCCAACAACCACTCAGTCTTCTACGGCTGCTTCAACATCAATCTCTAAATCTTCTCCAGCCACAACAGATTCCACCACTCAAGAATTTACATCGGAGTCCACAACTCTGTCTTCCGAGGCTACCTCATCCACAACAGATTTCAGCACAACTTCTAAATCCACTACTAGTTCCACCACAGATACCTCAACAACAACGGATTCTCCCACATCTTCATCAACGTCAACGGACTCCACCTCAGGCTCTCCAACAACTACTGTTCCTAGCACTTCAACTGATTCCAGTACATCTTCCTCAGCTACAACGGTTTCTACAACGGACTCCACTTCAGGTTCCTCAACAACTACTGAGTCTTCCCCCTCTGTTCCTAGCACTTCAACTGATTCCAGTACAGCTTCCTCAACCACAACGGTTTCTACAACAAATATTTCAACAACAGATGAAACTACAACAGATGAATCTACAACTTCTTTTTCCACCACAGAATCTACAACATCAACTGATTCATCAACAAGTGAATCCACCACAACCATTTCCACCACGACCATTATATTGCCAACGGAACAGGAAGTAATTTTAACGCTCTTGGAGGAAAATTCGGTGAGGCTAGATCTGTCGAATTCTCTGCTTGATACCATCAGCACAATCAACTGGAATATTAACAATGACCTAGGAAGTCAAACGGAATTCCTTAACTTAATTGAAGACACAGGAAAGCTTCTCCAAAACAAAACCCAAGAACTTTTATCTTGGGAAGCTGAGCTTCTTAGAGGAGTCGTTAACTCCATTCAAAAGATAGACTTTTTTGCCAACGGATCAACAGAATTCGTATCTGATTTACTGCGATTCCAAATAAAAAACGAGAATCGAGTAAAGAGCTTGGAGAAAAAACTAAACGACTCGCAAGGACGAATTCTAGGCATCGCAAAAGGTTTGGACGACAAGGTCAAATTTCTTAATCAATTACTTCAGGGCTATATTGAGCCAAAAGTTGACGAGTTAAAGGATTTGTTTGCTAATGTGAACAAGTCCCAAGTCGATTCCCTAATTGAACTAAAAAATGTTCCTTCGATTAGAAATCATACCGAGTCTTCGATCATCAAGCTATCATCCTTAAACAACCAATTAGCTATTTTCAACCAAACTCAAGAAAATAGTTTGTATTCCGTAGAGGTTGCACTTAGAAACTGGACCCCCACTAACCTGGATGCAATCAACGACCTTTTCCAGACCCTCAGCATTTCCCAAAAACGCACTGATTTGGCATTGGCCATTTGTGGATCTTCGGGGTATAACACCAAAGGCTTTCCTACTCATTTGATAAACTATAGCAGTAAGGACTATGTAGACAGCTCAGAAAAGCCTATCCAAGAGAAGAAAACTTGTTCTACAGAAAACTCAAGTGGAGAAGATGAGATATTGGAGGAATCTCCAGAAACATCTTGGAAGGTTGTGGCCCCTGCATAGATCAACTAAAGATAGTGAAAATGGAAAAGGAATTATGGAAACAGAATGAATGAATTACCAAATTTAAGTTTAAATTAGATAAATGTATCTATAAAATATAAGTAATACAACTCAAATAAAAAACCATTTAAAGTGCAATACTGTAAAAATACCTTTACTGCTAAGATTTCTAAATACTCGAACACAAATTGTTCATGGCAAATATGCGGACTATTTTGGCTGGCTATCAATTTACAGACAAGGGAACACCGTGAAGCTGCTGAGCGAAACTGATACCATGGATACACCGAGATGTTGGTGTAAAACGCCCCAGCAGAACGAATCCCAGACCAAAAACCGAGAACTACAAATGTCTACCAGAAAGGCTGAGAGGATGGCGCGAAACAAAAGTCAAAACAAGCGCAACATGAATGAACCTTTTAACATACTTGTAGTTACTAATTCCAGGTGACAGGCGACACAATGAGTCGAAGTGGATTTTTCATTTGTGGCCATTGTTGGACCCTCACGGGTATCGAGCTACGGAGATGGGGGAGTTTTATTTGGCCAAAAGGAGCAGACCATAAACAGGGGACACAACAAAGTTGTTACAAAAACAACAGCATCGGCTGCAAAAGTGACCAAAATCAGAGGCTACCAAAGTAGTAACAGATGCTCGATGCGAAGGTGTTGCCATTGGCCTTTCGAGGACCCGCAATCGGGAGTCCCGCATATCTCTCTCTCTCGGTGGGCACACGACATATCCTTTTCCCTTTTGGTTAAACTTCTGACTGTCTTTTCATTTCTTTTCTTTATTTTTGTTTTTGGCACAAGCCGGGCAATAAATTATCAGATACAAAATCGAATCCAGTCCGGAGTCAAAACAAAGGCATAAACACTCGACAGAGATGGCAACAAAGCACGCACTCGACCAATTGACGACACAAAAGACCAAAACAAAAACCAGACTCGGATTCGGAATCAGAATCATCGGATTCAGAATCGTTTTCAGAATCGAGCCCCAGTAACAGCCAGAGAATCCGAATCAGAAGCAAAACAAAACAAATCGAGAGGCTGATGCTGGCCAGAATGCAGAATGAACAGAAGAATACCCGAAAAGCATGGACATAAACACTGACAACATGCTGCGACACGGAATGGCTCGGAGAACTTTCATATCCATGGGTATGTGGTCTACACTGAAAGAAAGAAAAGCAGAGTCTAGTAGGAAAATTACTTCTTTCATGATAAATTTTAAAAATGTCTTAAAGCAATGTGAGAGAGTAAAAACTCATCAGAAAAGTTAATACTAGAATTTGGTCTTTAATTAAACAAATAAAATAAAAAATAAAATATTTCCCAACATTAACTATTAATTTCCAATATTTTTAAGATATTTTTCTTAGTGTAGCGCTTGTGACTGCCCTTGGTTATCGGAAGCAGCAGAAGCAACAGCAGCAGCGACGCACCAAATGACAACTTCGAGGGCAAAGTCAATGAGCGCCTTCCTGCTCCCTGTTATCGCCTGCTGTTGCGTTGGCCAACTACCTTTCCCCTTTCCACACCCGGCTACTCCTGCTGACCAGAGGACAAAAGGATCCCGGCGTGTTGCAAATCAAAACATGAAAACAACGACAGCAAACAAAACTCTGAACATGCGTCGAAATGCTAAGAAATATTTTCACTCAGCCGGCTGAAACATGCAAACAGCTAAAGTTGTTCAACTTAGTTTATGGAGCTGCTTGTGTTTGGCCAACAAGTTTGTGCAGTTTGTGAATATTGAGAATTTCCATCAGCTAAAGGAAAATCTTCAAGCCAGTTTTATCTCGTGGGTTGTGTGTGTGTTTAAATTGTTATTATTAAGAAAATACTACTCTTTCCCCGTTTCTCTTGGCAGATAAGCAAGCCAGGCATCACTTCATGATTTCAGATCGTTACCACTTAATTAAACCCAATTAATCTACAATATAAATTATTAAATTTCATAAAGCAACAAAAGTTAAATAACTTACACACAGACTGACGAGAGATTTCGACACCCAAAACCAAGTAACCAGAAACAGAAAGAGCCGCAAAAACAGCAAGCAAGCCACATCGCGGAGGCAGAAGACCAAGACGATGGAGATGATGATTATGAACCAGAAGAGAGTGGCCCAGAGCTAGAGGATATGGCGTATATAGTATATATTGGGCAGGGGACATTGGGGGCCACAGGGCTACAGGATTGGTATCAGAATCGGGCCTCGGCAGCTTCATGCTGTGCGCGATTCATGTTTGGTGATTAAAGTAAAGTTCGTAAATTTACAGTTTTCATCAAAGGGGCGACTGTTAGTGGACTGGACTCGGTCTTGGTCTCCGCTTTTCACAGACTGCTCTGCTCTGCGAGCAGCCACGGAGTTCGCCCAGAGTTCAGCCCAGGTGACTGTGACGGTGACTCTGTCGATGACTTCGAACCCCGGCTCCAAACTCCTAATCCAGCCTCGCGTACTACACTTGGAAAATTTCTTTCTTCTTCTTTTTTATCGTAATTAAAAAGCAATTTATGGTCCATAACTTCATCTTTACTTTAATTAAAAAGAAAGTTATTCGTTTCTAAACATAATTATCTATAAATTTTCAAATATTTTTATTTACTTATAACATTAAAAATACTTTTGAAAATAAACTCTTTCCAGTGCACACACATATTCGGCTCTGTAGCCTCCTTTGGCTTTTCCTAAACTGATTTCCAGCAATAAGCATTAGTTGAAAATTGCAATTGTTTTTGTAAAGGGTAGGGAGGGGCAATCCCGAGGAGGGGCGAAGAGGGAAGAGGCCACACCGCGGGGGAGTGCCAGTTCCAGTGCCAAAGTTAAAGCCAAGTGCCTGTGCTAGCGATTGCACGATTCCCTGGCCCACAGAGAGGGATCGGAATGGGGATCCCGAGGAGGTGGTGGACGAGGCACATCATCAACGTCCCCAGCCACGTCGTCAGTGCAGCAGAAAAGCTGCACAAAAAAATCCAATTGTATTTAACGAATTTTTCGCTGCAGTTGCTGTTGTTGCTGTTGCTGTTGTTGGCTTTCTGGGGTCCGGAACGGAGGGCCGTGAATCATATGGACACCATTAAATGGAAAGGTACGAGCAATGGCAATCGCCAACACGCGTCAATTGTGCGCGCTGTGTGAGACCGAAGGAAAATGCTGAAAAGCTGAAAGCCGAGAACCAAGAAAATCTGCGCAGTGATATTCACCAAAAAAACTTCGATCGAATATGAGCACGTGCCGTGACACGGAGAAAGAGATCAAACTTACTTGATTAAGGGAAAATATTGTAGTCTAAAGAAGGTAAATTGACCTAAGATCTAGACTGAAAAGTACTTAATTATTTTTGAAAAATCTTGCAAAGATAACAATATTATTTCCATCTTAAAAAGCAATTTCTTCAGTTCTAATCATTTAAACATTTTCATTTAAAACAAAGCCAACCACACGAGATCACCACTAACTCTGATTGCAGCCAGAAATGCACTTGGACCAGGAGATTCTCTGTTAGGTGGAAATGGGATTCTGGGATTGCGCGACGTGAAAATGACCCTGACTTGGCTGGGGATGTGCGGTGTCAGGGCTTATCAAAAGCTCGCAATGGCCCCGCCACAACCGCAACCATTAATAAAACCTAATAACAACATAAATGCCAATATCTTTTTAACAAATTCGCCCGACTGCTCACAGCAGATTTCGATAAGTGAACTAAATAACCAGATTAAAGCAGATCGTAATAAATGTAATTTGAATTTGCCGCACTCGGCACATCTGTGGCGTGCTCAGTGGTTGGTTGGTTGGTTGGTTGGTTGGAGTGGTGGAGGAGCATCTGAGGAGCATCATTACTTAATTGCATGGTCGAGGATATCACCAGGCAATCGATCGTCACGGATTACGAGAACCAACGTGCCGGCTTAAATTATGCGTTCGAGTGGTTTCAGCGCAGAGAAAAAAAGGGATTCCTACACCGCGGACAGGTGTTGATTGCTGCCCCTCTGCTGCCGCCAGCCTCCTTTGCATTTTGCCGCTGAGCCAGTGCCATCGGGTTTTATATATATATGTATATATATATCCAAGATATCCGAGAAGATGATGATGCTGCCGTGAATGATGGCCAGCTAAAACGTGCTGCAAATTATTGCATTTGCAACATGAGCAGCATTTTTTAAGAATAAAGCCCGTTTTAGCTCCATTTAAAAATTGGCCGCATTTATTACTTCATTTAGCCGCGTGTACCACAGATTCCGGGTTCAATTAATGTCTACTTTGTTTGGCTAACAAATTGAACAAACTTGCAGTTGCGGCCGCAACATGACTTTATTTTATTTGCTCTCGGTGGCAGCCTGTCGTTGATTATTGCCTTTTGGCTGCCTGCTGAAGACAATCAACTGGGTCTGCAGTGCAATTTGCCAGGAGAGCGAAACAAAAACAAAAAATAAATTTGAGTTCAGTTGCCGGGTCAAGCCACTGCCGGCTACTGAATTTAACCAAAAAAAACAAAAAAAAAAAAGAAACACAAAATAAGCAGCCCCATTCGAGGGCAAACAAAATCTTTTCATTCGCCATCGCTATCTGCATCTGAAGCTAGAGCAGCAAACATAAAATTGTTTTGATAACAATCTCGGGCAAAAATGCTACAGAGTCAAACAATAACGTGCCAAAAGTTTGCTACTGAATTTTAAATATTAATATCTCAGCCAGATAGATACAGCTCGGTGGATGGATACTTTGGCGACATAGCCCCGCCCCTGCTTGACTTTGGGCTGGCTTTAGTTTAGGTATGGGCCTTTTTCATTTTTCCATTTTTTCTTTCGGTTTTTGAGGGCGCGCACGTTTTGGTTGTAGCGGAAAAGTTTTTACTTTGAACATGAAAAATATCTTGTTTAGATTTTATTTTGCAGATAGACGACAAGTAGACTTAATTATCATTTTTCGCGAATACATAAATACATTAGCTGCGCTGCGGTTCGAGCTTATTGAGGGCGGTTCGCTGCCGCTCATTTTGGCCAACTTTCGCCGGTGGGAAATGCCATGGCAGGCCATGCCAACGAATCTTATACTTAGACTCTCTACTAACTGCACACACAATCATTTTCCAGCAA